TTATAATTTTTCTTTTTTTTTTTGCAAACTTTGCAAAATTCACATATATATATATACATATAACCATATGATGTAAAATGAACTTGGACTTTAAACATTTTTCCACCGTATTACGTCATTTTTATTACGGAATTCCGAATGAACAGAATTGTGCAGAAAACCGTGTATATAATTATAATTAATACGAGTAATTCTTTGATATATGCCGTAATAAAATTGAAAAAATTAAGAAAAAAAAAATGAAAAGAAAACATGTAGTTTCATAAAAATAGTTTTCTCGATTTATCAAATATTTTGCGTGAATTTATTTAAAGAGATTTTCATCAATGAAAAGGAAAATAAAAGGAAAACAAATTAATTCAATCATAATAAGGAAAGAATTTTGCAAAATCTAGGAAGTAATTGTTTTTTTTAAATCTATATAAATTCAAGAGTTTTTATGTACTTTTTATATTTTTCCTTTCTTTCACACACAAATCACTTAATTTTCGTGTTTTGCATTTTCGAACTTTATATTAAACAGTACTTTGTACTCTTGCTATAAAAATTCCAAATGATCAAGTTCTATCAATACGTGAAAATTTTCCGCAAATAAAAAGAAAAGAAATTATAATTAGACTCCATTCAAGCAGAAAGCTATATTGAATGTTAATTTGTTTATTAGAGTTTTGAAATAGGAAAATTATTTATTAGGGGTAATAAATTAATTTTTACTAATTAATTAATTATTGTTGACAATTATTAATAATTAGTAACAATTTAACAATTATTTGCAATTTAATAGTTCGTAACAATTTAAAAGTTAGTAACAATTCAATAATTAGTGACAATTTATTCAACAATTAATAATTAACAAAAAATTAAATTAAAAAAAAATTTAATTATCCCCAGCAATTTAATTTTTATTAATTAATTAATTAATTAGTGACAATTTATTCAACAATTAAGAATTAACAAAAAATTTAATTATCCCCAACAATTTAATTTTTATTAATTAATTAATTAATTAATTAATTAATTAATTAATTATCGATGACAAATATTAATAATTAGTAACAACTTAATAGTTAGTAACAATTTAATAGTTTGTGACAATTTAATAATTAATGACAAAATATTAATTAGTAGCAATTTAGTATTTAGTAATAATTTATTAACTAGCAACAATTAAATAATTGGCAAGAATTTAATAATCAGTGTTAATTAAATAATTATCAACAATTTATTAATTAGCAACAATAAAATGATTAGTAACAAATAATGTGTTGCAATTTGTTAATTAATAATAATATTGTCAATAAATTAATATGTTAATTAATAATAATATTATTGATAAATTAATTAGTAACAATTTATTATTTAGTAAGAATAAAAGCACAGCGCAGCGCTAAAAAATAATTAGTAACAATTTAATCTTTAGTTAGAATTTATTGTTCAATAATTTATTAATCAATAATAATAAGAGTAATAATTAATTAATTAGTGACAATTGGATTTAATAATTATTAAAAATAAAGTAAACAATAACAATTTAATATTTTAGTTACAATGAAATAATTAGTAACAATTAATGAATTGTTGAACTTTTTACAATTTAAAGCATGAAATAGTTTATTCAATGGAAAAGTTTCATAGTCAATATTCATAATTCGACGTAATTCTGAATAACGTCATTTACCAATGAAAATGGATTAATAAAAAAAAAAGATAAACACTTATAACTTTTTTCTTGAAAAAAAAAATTCTTTTCCGTTTTTTTTCATTTCCTAGTGGGTGTAGGTACATAAATGTAAGTGTTTTCCATGATGTGATAATGAGACAGAAAATAATTTATCATTTTATACAAGATCTATGCAATTTCCACAAATCAAAATTTTCATTATATTTTAATTATATAGAACCAACTGTTTTTATTCTCTCTCTCTCCTTTTCTTGCTTAGGCATATAGGATGATTATCTCTAGAAAAAAATTTTTTTTTCCTTATTGTTCTCTTTTAAAATTTTAAAAAAATAACAATATGGAGAAAATATAGTTAATAAAGTTTGCATTTCTTTTAACTCTAAATGTTGTTTTTCAACATTAATTTTCGAGGAAAAGATTAAAATATTTTTAATAATAATTGTTTGAATAATTACCTTCTACGTCGTCACTGGCAATATTCAATATCTTCTTTTTATTAGTTAAATAACACAATTTTCTTTGGTATAAGGATAAATAAATATACCTATTATTATGTATTAATTATAATTAGTAATAAATATTACTATTAGTAATTATTAATTAGTAGCAATTAATTATTAGTAGTAGTTAATAATAATTAGTAATAATTACTATTAGTAGTAATTATTAATTAATTGCTATAAATTATTATTAATAACTAATAAATTAATAGTAATAATTATTAGAAGTAATTATTAATTAGTAGCAATTAATTATTAGTAATAATTACTAGTAGTAATTATTAATTACTTGCTATAAATTATTATTAATAACTAATAATTAATAGTAATAATTAGTAGAAGTAATTATTAATTAGTAGCAATTAATTATTCGTAATAATTACTAGTATTATTTATTAATTAGTGGCTATTAATTATTATTAATAACTAATAATTAATACCTAATAATTAGTAGCAATTAATTATTAGTAATAATTACTAGTAGTAATTATTAATTAGTGGCTATAAATTATTATTAATTACTAATAATTAATAGTAATAATTAGTAGAAGTAATTATTAATTAGTAGCAATTAATTATTAGTAATAATGACTAGTAGTAAATATTAGTTATTTGCTATAAATTATTATTAATAATTATTAATTAGCAGCTATTAATTAGTAGTAATAATTACTAGTAGTAATTATTAATTAGTGATAATTAGTAGTAATATTTAATTAGTAGCCATTAATTATTAGTAATAATTAATTTAGTAATAAATAAAAAATTTAATAATAAGAATTAGTTTAAATTTTAAAAGAAATAAGAATAAAAGAAATTCCGGTCAAAAGTAGAAAAGCAAAAAGAACTTAAAAGTTTAGGTCTAATTCACAATGAACAACAGGTAAATATAATCGAAAAATTTATGTCATTATTAACAGGTCAATATTGTGAAATTAAATAAATAGTAGATGAAAATTTCTATTTAAGAATAATGTAAATAATAAAAAATAATATGGATAACATTTTATTTTTATACACAACTTTTTTTTCCATGGCGGAAATACTTAATAATAATGATTAATTGATAAATATATATAAGAAATAATTGCATATGATATTTATGTCAACCTGCTGATTATTTATTATTAAAGTGGAAAAAGTTATTGCACGTTAAAGAATATATAAACTTAATGAAAAAAACAATGGAAAAATAGAAAAAAAAAAGAAATTATGAATAACACTACCTCTACACTATATTAATAATAATTTTTATTATTATAGATTTTTACAGTTTGATAATAATTAAATTTTTTTTTTTCTTTTTTTATTTGATAAACATTTATAATCAGTTGTGTTTGTGTATTTTTTTAAAATAATTTAAACATAATAGTATTTATATTTTAAATTGTTTACTTTTCTTCTCGATTGTTTACAACATTTTTAATTTGTTTATTTTTCTACTGTTGGCTAATGATGCGTGGATAATTTAAAGTTAATTTTGTAAAAATATTGGTAAATATATTTATTGTTCTCTCATTGATTGTTTTATTAAAAAAAAAAAAGTTTGACGACAAAACATTTTTAGAGTTTTTTTGAAATAAATTTCAAAGATTTTCTAAACAATAAAATAAAAATATAAATTTTATTTAAATAATTTTTAGTTTTTTTCATTATAAATTTTTTTCATTTTCTTAACAAATTTATGAACAAGAAATTAACAATTATTAATTTATTTCAGTATTTAAATAATAAATCAAATCAAATTATTTATTAATATTAAAAATAATTTTTTTTTGTTGAAATATTTTTTGAATTTTCGCTGTATTTTTCTTCCTTTGGTTTTTTTCCAAAATGTTAAACTGTTAGTTTTTTAAAATAACTTGTGAATTAAATTTCCATTCATCGATTTTTTTTTGTTTGTTTATTTTACGATTTCAAATTCTACTTCTGATATGGGAATTTTTTGAAAGGTTAAACTTGCCAATATTCCTCTGAAACCGTTATGTTTTTTTTTCATTTTGTATTTTTTCTTTTTTAATCTTCACCAGAGGAATGAACGTAGTATAACAAATTTTGTAAAGTCGATGGACGCTCTATGGGTATAATAATATATTCATCTAACTTTTGCAAAAGAAAATTAGCATAATACAATAAAAGTATAGCTATAGATTTTTGTCAACATTCCACACTATCGAGACGAATCACTAGTTTTTGTGTGTTGAAATTTATAATGGTGATTTTAATCCTTTCGCAGTGGAAGATTTGGATCCTACTATATATATATATATATACAATTAAATACATCACGAGCCTTGAAAAAAATTTTTAAAAAAAATTCGTCTTCTATTTGATCATCTGAAATCTTGGAAATTTTCTATCTGGAAATATTCCATTGATGATGGTCCCATTTTTAGAGCGATTTTAGTTTAATGACTCCATAAAGTATTTTTGGTAAAAAGGTTTCTTTTTAGAAAAAAGATCCATTTTTTGTTCCTCAAAAAAAAAAAAATTTTTAACCATAGAGTTTCAAAACGATTTTTCTAAATTTATATTTTACAACACTTATAAATTTATATTTTCAAAATATAAAATAATAATAAAGAAATACAAAATAATAGGTAATAAAAAATATAAAAATCAAAATATGTAAATTTACATTTTGCGAATATAAATTTGTATTTATTTAAATTTAACAATTGATTTTATTTTTATTTATTTATTTTTACTATTTTTTTGTTTTTAATTTTAATTATTATTATTTTTGTGCTTGGACATTTTTTTCATTTTTCAGCAAAAACAATAATTATTTGCTTTTTGAACTATTAAAAATTTTCCTTATAAATGAATAATAATTTTATTTTGAATTTGTTAACAGTAAAATTTTAGTTGTTGGTAAAGGTTTAAAAAAAAAATATAAACATTTAAATAACAAACGTTGGTAAACTAGGGAAGATATGATAACAAATTTTGCTTCTGATTTTCGCTGAAAAACTTCAGCAAATTGAATGTAGGATCGCTACTTTTCATACAATTTTCAAATAAATGAAAATAATTCAAAGTTGTTGAGAAAAACATTTTTTTATAATATTTTACTCAATTCTATTTCTTCTTTTCTCGTAGAAATCAATGGTTTCATTGCTTCAATAATTTTTTGGTCCTCCTTTTCTTCTATGAAATTTTTAATCTGGAAATAATAAATATAATTTGTTTCTTATTCATTAAATTTTTTTAAAAATTATTATTATACTTCATCTGTTAAAAAAAATAATAATCATTATTGATAATTAAATTAAATTAATTAAATTAATTAATTAAATTAATATTTTAATGTCTTTGAAAATAGTTTAATGATTTTAATTATAATGATTTAATTATTCTTTTATATATTTTGAAAATTTTGTAAGACATTTTTAAAACTTTTTTAAGATTTTTTTGAAACAATTTTTAAAAAATTTTAAGAATTTAATAATTAGATTAATTTTTGTAATTATAATAATAATATTAATAATATTAATAATAGTGCAATTATTAAATTACAACAATGAATTAAAAAAAAGTAAAATATTTATAAATAATAATTACAATAATTACAGTGATATTAAATATTAAAATAATAATTGAGATAAAGTTTTTCGAATTGATAAACTTCCGAACTAAAATAATTTTTCTGTTAGTATCTAGAGGCAATTTTAGTCAAAACAAATTTTTAATTAATTGTAAATTTTATCCAGAGTTGGAAAATTAGTTGGGTAACAGAAGGTAAGAATTTCAATTTTCAAAATTAAAAATAAAAATAGTTAATTTTTAATAATGAAAAAAGTAATGAATTTTTGAAAATAACTAATTAGTAATTTAGTAATTTTTGAATAATATTTTATCGAAACTCACTTTTTCTAATTTTTTCACACCTTTGGCGGCGTAGATAATATTTTCGTAGACGCTGGACAATGAATTTTTACTATTGAGTCTAAAACATAAATTAATTTTTATCCATTCTAATGATAATAATTAAAATAGCTTTTATTTTGTTTCTTACCTCTCTTTAATCTCTTTTCGATTTTCATCCACGAAACTTAAAGTCAAACCAAGATTTGTCTTTGAAGCAAAAGCTATTACTTCCAAAATTTGAGAATCAGAAATAAGACTATCATTTTCGATGATTAAATTTAGATATTTCGTTAAAGTTTCATTATTATTACGACAACTGAGAGCTTCGAGTACATCTTTGTCTTTAGTTTTCCTAAAAACTTCCAACATTGAATTCCAAATTGTCTTGTTGGCATTCCTCAAACCAGCGCAAAGTATCCAATCTTTGTCATTGGTTGGTAATCTAATAAATTAATTTTTGTATTAATAGTAAAATATTAATGAAAATTACAAGGAAAAAGTTTTCACTAGAAAAAGCGATAAATTTTTAGTAGAATAGCGAAAGTCTTAACTAAAACAAATTAAACGCTAATAAGAAAAAATTATTTGATTTTTGTCACAGAATCAAAAAACAAAGTTATTCTTATTCAATTTCCGTGATGTGAATTTCTTTTGGTTCTTACATATCAGGATTGGAATTTTCCAAAACTTTGGAAACGTATTTGTCGGCTCTCTCTAGGCACGATTCCATTTTATAGTCACATGATAATTTTAATACTCCTCTGCGTAGTAGACAAGTGAAAATATCATCGTTCTCCTTTTGCTCAGAACCAACACGAGCTAGGACACTATTTATTGTCAATACTTTAGCAAAGGTCTGAAAAAAATCACACAAAGTTAATATTAACTGGTTTGAAATGAAATTTTCACCAATAAAAATTAGTCTTTTGAAAAGAAATTTTTCCACCTGCATTGCTATTGATATGATAAAGTTATCCTGATTATTTTGAAATTCATTGAGAATTCGAAGACCCGCAATCCATGGTATATAATCGTCTTCTTGATGTAGATATGTTAAAATTTTCAAAAAATCACTAAACTCCATTTTCTTATTTTGAAAAATATACACAGCGTCTTCGATAATTTGCAATCGATTTAAAACATGGATTTTTGAATAGTTTTTCGAGTTTAAGTAGTCGATGATTTTATTCCAATTTGTTTTGTCATAATTAACACGATAGTAGCCTAGAATGAAATAAATGATTTTATTACCCGAGTCAGGTATTTATAGTAAGCAAATAAATATTAATTTTTGTCCCTTCTATTAGAAAGCAATAAATTTTGCACGGGGCGAACTTGGCACACGCTCCACTCCTGAGCTTCGCTGCAGGCGGAGTGGGGACTCCCCACTCTAACCAACTCGGCGCCTATATAAGTAAAGCGCTCAGCAGGGACAAGTCACTCTCTTCCCAGCATCAATACAGAGCAAGAAAAAATTATACACTTTGAAAAAACTACCAGTATTTTCCACGTTAACAATTATCCAGTCGTTGGGATCAATTCCGTCAATAATTAATTCCTTCTGATCGGGACTCAACCAATGTGTCGGTAAGGTTGTGGCCAAATGTAATGTTGAATTTGTAACAAAATTTATAGGAATCCACCATTTTTGATTTTTGGAATTGGTATCATTGTAGAATTTATTACAAATAAGACACTCCTGGGTTATTTTTACTGTTCCGGTATTGTAATCTCTAACGACATTCACTACCGGATAGCCTCTTTGTTTCAAATAAGGATCCATCATTTTTTTTATGTCCATATCTTTGTAGGGAACATTGAGTTCGATCATAGCTTCAGTTAATGACTCCCAAAGATCGTCTGTATTCACTGCTTGAAATTGACTACAAAAAGAAAACATTTTTACTGTAATTTTCTTATTGGATTTGTAGTAATTGTATCGTATTTATTTAAAGATGAAAAATGTACCAGTTTCACAGAAAAGTACTTACTGTTTTTGTAAGTATTTTCGAATACCTGCATCGAATACTTCTTTTGATAGAATGTTGACGATCATGTGAACAATTGCTGCACCTAAAAATCAATGTCGTTTTTAGAAAGCAAATACAACTAAAAATTATAAGTTAAGAATGAGTTTACTATCTTTACTGGTTGAAGTCAAAAAAGCAGAAACATAAATGAAGGAAATTATTTCATTGAGTGAATAAATTAATACCTTTGCAATAAGTGAGAGTTTCGAAAGTTCGAATTATTTCGTCATTAGATTTTAAATCCGGAGTTAAAGTCAAAACAGAAGAATTCCTCTCAAAATCAAGAGCCTCGTATTTATTCGTAGCTACGAAAACTTCTAATAGTCTTGGTTCGTCCAGTGTCTAAAATTTTTTTTTTTTATTTATTAATATTAAAATTGCGTTTCTTTAAATTAAATTTTGAAACAAAACCATAATTGAAAATTTTATTTTAAAATAACAAAAAAATTAAATATAAATACATTGAATAAAAAATAAATTAACCTGACTAGCGACAATCCATTGAATATACTGACAAAATCCTTCACTGAGCCAGAGGTCTTTCCACCATTTGGGAGTTACCAAGTTACCAAACCATTGATGACAAATTTCGTGAGATGTTAATAAATATGCGGTCATAATTTTATCTGTTGAAAGATTCATGGGATTTCCAAAATCTTCTTCTCTGGAAGGTTTAAAAGAGTATCATACTATTTATGTGATTATTAATTATTAATTAATAAATAATAAAACAGTAGAGTTTATCAATCACTATGAGTCAGGTAATAAAAATAAATCATTAATAAATATTATTCATTTTTGTCTCTACTATTCAAAAAATTCTAAATTTCGTGCGGGGCGAATTTAGCATACGTTCCGCTCCTGAGCTTCTCTGCAGGCAGCTAGAGTGGGGAGCTCCCCACTCCAACTGACTTGGCGGGTATATAAGTAAAACGCTCGGCAGCGACGAGCCACTTTCGAAGCGGCATTAACACAGAGCGGAACTTAAGTGTCAGACAATATTCGAATAAAATTAATTTATTATAAATTAAAGCAAATCTAATTAATCTTTTGAGCCTAATAATAAAGATCAATGAATAATAAATAAAGGTAAATAAAAAATAAATAAAGATAAATAAATAGTAATAATAATAAATAAATTATAAAATGAATAGGACTTTTGAGTCTTCTGCTACAGAAGTCTTCTGCAATTGTATAAAATTGCTGAAAGTGCCTTTTAATTTTAAAACTAAAAATTAAAACTTACTTGTAACTAATGAGTCCCCAATTCTCAATAGCTTCCGAAAGGTGTGGAATTGCAACGTGATTTTGCTTTTCCAATACATACGGAATTTTTGTGTAATTTTCAAAAATTTCAACTGTCTCTTGTCCTATTTCATAAACAATTCTCATGTGTAAATGAGGATTTTTTCTTGACCAAACAGTAAATGTTTCATTCCAATTGGAGTTTCTTTTCAAATCATTAGTAATTAAAAAGGCCACCAAATAGGTTGACATTTTTGGTGTTTCTTTAAAATCTGTCCATATTTTTCCATCACTTTCTGGATTTTCCCTCTTCTTTTCCATTGGCATATTAGACAAAACCGTGTAATTCGGAAAATGTTTTATTGAAATTTCAAAAGTTGCCTTCAAACCCGGTTCATCCCAACAAGGAAATGCCTCGCGTGCGTAAGTTGGTTGAAAAAGTGTAGAAATGAGATGTCTGCAATATTTTTTTTATTTTCTACTATATTTGTATTTATTTATACTCCTATGGTATTTGTTCTTAATAATAAAAATTTTTCTATTTTATTTGTTTGAAAAATTAAATTATTCTAACAGTGTTTCTAATTTATTATTTGTTTTGTATTTTATTATTAATATTCAATATTTTATTTTAAAAACAAATATTGTATTCTTTCAAATATATAATGATATATTTGAAATTGTATTGTATTTATTTAAATAATTAAATTCTACTGATGTTTCAAATTTATTATTCTGCTAAAAAAGATGAATTATTCTAATATTGTTTCAAATTTGTTATTCTATTTGTTTAAATAATTTAACTGTTCTAATATTGTTTCAAATTTATTTTTGTATTTATTTAAATAATTTAATTATCCTAATATTCTTACAACTTTATTATTTTATTTGTTTAAATAATTTAATTAGTTTAATACTGTTTGGAATTTATTATTCAATTTGTTTAAATGATTTAATTATTATAATATTGTTTGAAATTTATTATTTTATTTTTTTAAATAATTTAATTATTTTAATATTGTTTAAACTTTATTATTCTATTTGTTAAAATAATAAAAAAAAAATTGAATGTAAAAAAATCCCTAGTGGGAGCGAATCTCGAACCTACTACCAAACACCAACACTCACCTAACGACTGTGACCATTGTAGAAAATTTTTCTTTCCAATTTCATTATTGAAAATTAATTAAACTTTTTCTACTTACACTGTTTCATTTTGATCATTTTTGTAAGAGTTTTTAAAAAGTCCAGCATCACTGTTTCTGATGACACCGTGAAATCTTAAATGAAGTGTATAATTTCCCGGCAAAAGTTCCTTGGAGAATGTTAAAATTATAAAATCTCGTTCATCATCAATAATATGTTTATCTGGTAAAATTGTTTCCTTATATCCATTTAAAGTTGTTTCATCAACAACAATTGTTAAATTCGAGGCATGTAGTGTTAAATTTTTTGTTCCCTCTACAATTTCAAGGGAAATTTCAACTTCACCGTCAAATGTAAAATTTTCCGGAGGTAAATGAGGATTTATATTTAATTTATAATGTCTTGGAATTGTATTATTCGGTAGACGATAATCATTTGAATTATTTTCAATCACTTCTGGGGTATTTCTAATTTCTCTGCTCAACAATTGGTGACTATTTGTTGTCAAAAGTAGCAGAAGAAGAAATTTCAATCGTTCTTTCATTCTGTGGTTAAAAAAATATTTCTTTTTATTTCAATTATTTCTTTTAATTTCAATAATTAATTTCAATTAGTAATAAATTTTTTAAAATTAAAAAAAAAATATTACAATAGTATAAAGTTTTGGAAATTAATTTTTTGGCTACTGTTTTTAAAAACGATACCTATAGGTACTTTAGTTTTTTTTTTTAATTTTTGACTATTTAGTTATTATTTAAATTATTATTTGTATAATAATAAAAGTGATAATTTTAATAATAATAATAATTCGATACCTTAGTGTAAAACTGTTCTATCTTCGCGTCGAGCTGTAAACCGAACTATCTCAATGTTAGTTTACTTGACTTCCTTGATTTGTTATGAACACAATTTCTTTTTTTATTTTTAAATTCTGTCCAATTTGTGTAAGTTGTTAAAAGCATACAATAGATTTTATAATAATACGTAATACACTTATGGCAATTATTTTTTATTACTTATTTCATGCTTTAAATCTATGAATGTGCAAACCTGTCAAATTTGAGATTGCACGGTTTATGGCTCGACGCGAAGAAATTATTATTTATTTATTATTATTATTATTATTTCTTATTTAATTATTAACAAAAATAAACGCAAACAAGTCCAGTTCATTATTATTATTATTTTTGTAAAAATTATTAATTAAGGTAACAATAATAATTTAAATATTTTCTGAATAGCAATATTCGAGTAAAATATTCAACATACCTTTTAATTAAAGACTGACAAAATGATTAATTAATTAATTATCGAACAACTTCTTTAGACTGAACGATTTTCAATAGAAATTAGCAATTAGATGATAGCGATACTCTTGACCCGATGAACTGTGATTGGATAATGTGCCTTGATTTTTAAAACTTTGTAATTATTTATATTTTTTTTCAAAAAAAAAAATAATTTGAACTGTAAACAATTACAATTTTTGCTGTAAAAATGGAAGAAAGTTTTTTTTGCTGTTGTTAAGAACAAAAATAACGTTTATAAATTATTGTAAAAGATTTTTAATTACAAAAAAGCATTATACAATTATTATAATTAGAAATTACTAATTTTCTGTACATTATTTTCTATTACATTCTTTTGGGAAAGTTTACAAAAATCTTTTTTTTTAACAAAAAATAGAAAAAAATGTTTTTCCTTTTTGAAAAAAAAAGAAATTTAATTATTAAATATTATATTTATATAAACAAAATAAAATTGATGACAATAAACCAGAGAATTATTAAAAAATTATTCAATACTTTTCTTCCCTCCCTGAGTTAAAAAATCATTTAAACTACAGATTAATGAAATTTCCATCTTTTCTTACACCATAAAAATGACTAAATTCTTTTTTAACTTTTTCTTTATAAACAATATTTTTAATTATGTAAACGAATATTTATACAATAGAAATAAGAAAAAAAAAATAAAAAAAAAAGATAAATTTCCAAATTCACTATTATTTTTTATTTTTATTATCTTCTTTCATTGATTTTTATCCCTTTTTACTTTTTTTATTAGAAAATTTAATTTATTATCAAAGTTTTTAATTTTTATCAGAAAATTTTCGATATTTTCTTTTCTTTTTTTTTGACGAATAATTCGTATCCATTGTTTATTAGAAAAAAATTAAACTAACTTTTTGATTATATTTTGGAAATATTTCACTAAACAAGAAAAGTGTTTTTTTACAGTCTTACGTATATTACTAAAATATTTATCTGTAATTTTTTTGTTTTTAATCCAATGGAAGAGAAATGCCAAAAAAAAAAATAGTGAAAAACTTACAGTTTGTTCTTTTGTGAAAGGAAAATATTGCTTTGCGAAAACTCGATTCAGTTTCACTTAATTAAATTAATTAATTTCATTACAATATTAATATTACATATTGAATTACGTGGACAAGTGGCAAATTACAAAGTTTAAATTTTAGTAATATTTACAAGTGTAACACATTTTTTTTTACAACTAGAATTTTTTGTTCGATTAAAGAAAATATAACGTGATGAATGTTTTTTTACGTTAAACTCAAGACAGTGGAGAATATTCGCCATAAGAGCCAAACGCCAACAGTGAATGTCATCACTTTGACACATTGGTGTAACCAGTAGAGCCTGAAAAAAATTGATAATAGAAATTAAATTTATGTAAGAGGTAAAAAATTAAATTAAAAATTAATTGAAAATTTAATAAATATTTTTCAATTCTCACTCACAATTTAAATATTTTTTCAAGTATTTTTAAATATTTTAAAAATTATTTTTATGGTCTATAAATATAATTAAATATTTTTGAATTTAATAACAGTCATTTAATTATATTTTTCACTTTGATGCATTTAATTAAATATTTAAATTTAATATTCATCCTTAAATTATATTTGTTAGTTAGTAAATAAAATTGTATATTTGTAATTTAATTATTATTTTTTAATCGTAATTAACTCTCACCTTTGCCACCTGACTTTGCTTTTCTCCAAATTGTCGAGTTTGTCTTTAAAAAGATAGACTCGTATTCCCTTTAAATATGTTTCGAAATATTTATCCCAATTGAAATTTTTCATACTGAAACTAAAGATTTCTTGATCCTTGGTGTCCATTCGGTCGAAAAGTAATCGTACATTTTCGTTGGTAAAAACCCATTCGTTGGTACAAAAATGTGAAATAACGGTTGTGAATTTGTGAATTTTCTGATACATTTTCATCAGTCTAGAAATAAAAATTAATATTAAAATATACGGAAATATTTTTTTATTTTATTCTAGAAAAAAATTAACAATAGAAAATACGAAAATATTTTTCTTTTAGTCTAGAAAAAAATTGATATTAAAAAATACGAAAATATTTTTATTTTTATTTACCAGGTGCAATAACTATTTTTAGATTAAAAATAGTAAAAGAAATGTATAAGCTCCGCCTACATCTGGCTCACAACGTATTCTATTGGTCGCTCTATTCAAGGTCACGTAATCCTATTGGTTTGACGTTGACCTTGACGAGAGCAGCCAATCAGAAAAGTTGCGCGCCTCTTGTGGGCGTTTCTCAATGTAAATACGTTAATAAATAAAATAAACGAATTTATAGTAAATAAATTATTACAATTCGTAAGAAGATAATTTTTACAGCCGGTAAATAATTTTTATTTAATTTTTTAACTAACAGTAATTTTTAATTATTTTTTTAAGTAATAATAATTTTTTACCAACCTTGGTTTTTGACCGAGGCAAATGCAAATTGTGTCGACAATAAAAGCTGGTAATAAATGTAAAACTAGCGTTGACAATGTGTGCATTAATTTTTGTTTATTCATTTTAAATGACAAATACCAAAATGAATTGCTCGGAGGATAAATATCGGAATATCTGGTGTTTACATCACAATACTCGTTCCATGTTAGTGGGGCATCTTCAGAGGATACAAAATTGTATATTAACATATCTTCCTCCCTCCTGGAAAAATGGTAATAATTTATTATTTATTGAAAAATAGTGACAATGATTTTTTTCCATTATGATTTTATTTTTAATTTCTACTTTTTGTTTCTGAGGAAAAAAATAAAAATCGATTTGAATTTCGCGCCAATATTATTCAGTGGCTTTCGAATTTTTTCTCTAAATACTGAAATTTTTTATTCAAATATTCTACAATTTATTTCATTTGAGTCAAAATTTGAAAAAAATAATTTTTTTCAGTTTAAAACAAGAAAACGAACGTATAGTAAATAGTTGATCGTCCACTTTATCTCGTTTGCGAGAGAGTTTTCATGCCATCTAGGCGGAATTTTACCGAATTATAATGGCGGGAAATTCAAATTTTATACTAAATTTTTTTTCTTATTATTATTTTTTTTTTAAATTTTATTTATTGGGAGAGAAATTTTTTTGCTTTACCTCGTCGGCTGCATAGCTACATCCCAAGCACTTGCAATTAGAGCATTAACAGTTAAATCCACAGGAACAATATTGGCGTTTACTTTTGGATTACAATGCAGGGTCTTCAAAATTCCAGTTGAAGCTCCAGCTGTAACTCCAGTTGGACCATAAAGATTGTCTATCCAGCCAGGGATAGGCTCCTTAGAAGTTGAAACAACTGAAAAAAAAGAATTAAATTAATTTTTTGTTTACATACTAATTAATTTATTTATTTATTAATGTTGTTCAAAGTTATTTATTATTTTTTAATCAGTTTCGTAAAAATTCGAAATCGAAAGAATTTATTTAGATTTATTATTATATTCTTGTAATGATTTATTATTCACTCATCTTTTTAATTGTATTTTTTTTTTATTATTTAATGAAATATTTTTCATTTACTCTCAATTAATATTTAATTTTAATTAATTTATTTTAATTATTATTTAATTATTTATTTATTTATTAATAATTTTCTTTAAATTTTCATTTTTATTTATTCATTAATTTACATATTTAAACAAATATTTAAAAATAAAATGAAAATTTTCATTTTAATTAATTTATTAATTTACTTATTTAAACAAGTATTTAATATTGAATACAATATTAAATATAAATAAATAAAATAATTTAAATATATAATATTTATTTATTAGTTTGCATATTTAACCAACTATTTAAAAATGAAATGATAATTTTAGTTTCAATTAATTTATTTATTTATATCTTTGAACAAAATTATATTTAGTAATAAAATGAAAAAATACATGAAAATACGAAAAAAAATTTTAAATTTACATATTTAAAGAAATTGTTCAAATTGAAAATAGTTTAATTTTATTTAAATTCTCATTTTATTTAAATTTCCTTAATTTCTTTGAATTAATCATCAATTTTGATTCATTAAAACCAATAGTCAATTTCTGTCTCAATATTGAACGCAGTTGATTAATATTTAATTATTAGTACAATTTACATTTTTTTTCCTCTCTCTCTCTTTCTTTTTTACTTAGTTTTCAAACATGTTTTCGAATAACAGTCAGTATTAACGGAAACGTCAACCGTTTGTACACAATTTTTTTTCAATTTAGAAATAGTTTTTGTATTTTTTCTTCCTCTGGTACTTTGAATGAGATTTGAATAATTATTTTCTTGCAGTGGAATTTCTTCATTAAATTGAAAACGATTTTTACTCTCCTGATTATTATTTATTAATGTTTCTTCTGATTTTGTACTTAGTGTACAATAAATATCTTCAAAGTCTATAGACTCGGGATACATTGTTTGAAATGGTGGCTCTTCGAATTCCATTTCATTTCTTGGATTTAAAAATTCATAGCACGAAACACTTACTAGGAGAATTAATTTTCCCAAAACTGTCAGGAGAAATATTCCTATTGTCAATAGAAGTTGCCAAATAATACTTATAAATCCACTGACTGCATACATTGCTATTGCCAAACACATGATTTTGTTTTTTTGTTTTTAATTTTATAGTTTGGTGGAATAATTTTTTAATTGGGGGGATTTTTTTGAAATATTGTTTTCCATTTTTGGTTATTTTTTTTTTATTTGTGTCAAAAAATGTTAAATAATTTTTAAAGTTGGGTTATTTTTCTTTTTTGACATTTTTCTAATCACTTTTCATTTGTTCGAGTAAAAATAATTGTTTTTTGTTTTTGTATTTTAAATTTTCACTAAATCAATTTATTTTGAGTAAATAAATAAATCAACTAATTCTGTTTTACATTAAAAAAAAGGATTTATTTGACTCAAAGTTTAGTAAACTTTTTTATTTGTTTCAAGTAAGTTTTATTTAGTCCAAATAAATTTTGTTTGGTTCAAATATATTTTATTTCGTTCAAATCAATTTTGTTTGCATCAAATAAATTTTTTTTGGTCCAACTAAAATTTCATTTCGTTCAAATAAATTTTGTTAGGTTAAGATATATTTTATTTGGTTCAAATAAATTTTATATCGTTCAAATCAATTTTTTTTGTTCCCTATTGAATTTTATTTTGTTCAAATAAATTTGATTTGGTTAAAATAAATTTTATTTCTTACAGTAAATAAATTTTATTCATGCCTAAATAAATAAAAATTTTATTTACAATAAATAATTTAATTTGCTCTGAGACAAATATACTTTTATTTGACTCGAATAAATTATATTTGGTTTAACAAAATTTCAGTTCTGGATGTAGCAACAAATGAATAAAAAATTTATTAAAATTATTAATAATTGTAAATTTGAATAAAAATATTTACCAATTGCCGGTCTAAATATTCCTAAAGGCAGTCCTTTGTTCCTTCTTCTCACATAATCTTCTGCGAGGGCTTTTGTGAAGGCATAAGTATTAGGCCAAGATGAGATTATTCTGTAAAAAAAAAAAAAATTGGAACATTCTTTAAAATGCAAATAAATTTTAATGGAATTTAAATAAAATTTAATTTATTTATGTCATAAACTTAAATCAAATTTAAATAAAATTATTTATAAATTGAAAAATCAAATATTTCCATTAAAAAATAATTGTTTCAAATTGAAGTAAAATTTAATAAAATTGAAATAAAATTATTCATAAATTGAATAATTAATTATTTTTCTCAGAAAAAAAATTTTGAACAAAAAATTTTATAAAACAGAAATGCATAGAAATCTCAGACGATAAAATAATAAAATGATTAAAAAATATTTTGAATATTCTATTTTTAAATTTAGTTCTATTTTTGTTAGAAAAAACACCACTGAACAAAAGTCTATAGAAATTTTAAGATCATAGGAAATTTGAAGGGCGAAAAAAATTGCTTACTTTGGAGTGATTTCATCAATCACCTCTTCAGGAAGGCATTCAACCAACTTCAAAAGATCTTCAGACTCGATGGGATATGTATACAATTTTTCCTCGATCTTTTTCTGGTTGCAATTTGCATATGCTGTCGATACATGGATCATTGACTAAAAAAATTTATTTATTTATTTTATTTATCTAATTTAAAAAGAAAAAAAAATGTTTAATAAATAAATGTACATTTTAAATGAAATTAGAAAATAATCGATTTTAGGATAGAAAAAAAGTCGAGACACAGTTTTTTTTAGAAGGTAGGGATTTTTTTACATTCTCATTTTATTGATAAAATTAAGTGATGTAGATAAATACGTTTAATTTGACTCATGAAAAAATATTTATTTTGAAAAACATTTTTAAAAACCAAAATCGTGAATTTAAAAAGAGAATTCATCGAAAATTATTTGTCAGGAAGTGACGAATATTAAAAAGTCGAATATTTGAATGAACTCTAAACTCATTTGTACTAAATATAAAGATCGTTAGATATTTTGCATATTTCACTGGAAGTGCAAACAATAAAACATAAATCTATAATCTTCTAAGTAAAAAAAAATACTCTTTCGTAAATATAAGATAAATAAAAAAAAATACATTTACGATTCCCTTGAAACTGAAAATTATCGACCATTTCAGTGTCGAGGAAAGGAAAAGACATTTTTTTCTCTCTTTATTTAAAACGTCAATAATTGTACTCACATATTGACGTGTAAAATTTTTGAAAATAAAAAAAAAGAACAAAAAGATAAGGAAAAATTTTTTTTTTTTTTTTTTAAACGGATGAAAATTATTATAATTAATATTGTCTAAAAAAAAATAGTTTCCACCGAAAAATTTCGCAAGGAGATTTTGTGCTCTTATGTCATCCCAAAGAGAAATTCCATGCCTCGCTCACAAACGAAGGGCAAAGTTATGAAATGACATTTCAATAAGGCGGCATATCTGCAGAAGCGCTCGTCGATATAATGTATGTATGCCAAGGAAATTACGTGTGTCTTTTAGAGCGTGATTTTAACTGAAGAAAGTATAGCTGTATATGTGTGTTCAAAGAAATGTGGATATACAAAAATTGCAGAAAAGAAAAATTTTTTTTTAAATTCACTAATTTATACTTGTGTAAACCAAAATGATGGGAAAAAAATTTTTTTTTAACATTACCTTCAACTTCTGCATATCTTTGCCCAATTCCAAAATATCGGCAGTGCTGCGAATATTTATTGCAACTGCAGTTTTTAATTTTTCGTCAAAACGAACTGTTGCAGCCACATGAAAAATTATCGTCACCTGCAATTGTTATTAATTAGAAAAATTGTTTTTACAAACAGGGAATATTTTAGTTACAATTATTATTATGTTTTTAATTTGCTAAAAATTATTACAGTTTAATAAGTGCAGTTTACTAATTATAATTTAAGTTTACTTATAATAATTCCAACAAAAATATAAAATTATGAATTGTAAACATTTATTTTTAAATAAGAAAACTATTTTTCGGAAAAAAAAATTATTTTTGACCGAAACTACCATAGACTGAGACCTAAGTTTACCAAAAAATAAAATTGACTATAACTCCTATTGACTGAAACTATTATAAATTGATTACCATTGACCGAAATTGATATTGACCAAAATCACCATTGACAACAATCACCATTGAACGAAAATTACCATTGACAACAATCATCATTGACCAAAATCGCCATTGACCAAAATTAATATTGACCAAAATCACCATTGACCAATAATTACCATTGACCTAAATTATAATTAACGAAGATACCTGTTGAACGAAATTATAATTGACTGAAACTAGCATTGAACATAATAATCACTGACCTAAACTACAATTAACAAGGGACCTCAATGGACGAAATTAAAATGAACTAAAATACTTCCTCTATGAGGAAGTAATTATCAATGACCAAAATTGTCACTGACCAAAATTACAACTTGCGAAGAATACTAATGTCCGAAACTAAAATTAACTAAAAATACAATTTACAAAACAATTAATGACCGAAATTATTACTGAATTGAACTACACATGGCCGACGCCGATATTAACATAAATTGAAATTAACTGAAACTATAATTGACCGAAATTTTCACTGACCTTAACTGCAATCGTCAAAAGTCACTATTTACTCAAATAAAAGTTAACTAAAAATACAATTGACCGAAATTTTAATTAACTTAAACTACAATTGACCATTATTTTCACTGACCTTAACTACAATGGTCAAAAGTCACTATTTACTAAAATTAAAGTTAACTAAAAATACAATTTACCGAAATCATCATTAACCTTAATAACAAATGGAAGAAATTTTAATTGGTCTAAACTACAATTGACCCAAACTACAATTGACCGAAATTTTTACTGCCTTTAACTACAATTGTCAAAAGTCACTATTTACTAAAATTAAAGTTAACTAAAAATACAATTGACCGAAATTTTAATTAAATTAAACTACAATTGACCATAATTTTTACTGGCATTAACTACAATGGTCAAAAGTCACTATTTACTTAAATTTAAGTTAACTAAAACTACAATTGACCGAAATTTTCACTGACCTTAACTACAATTGCCCGAAATTTTTACTGACCTTAACTACAATGTTCAAAAGTCACTATTTACTAAAATTAAAATTAACTAGAACTACAATTGACCGAAATTTTAATTGACCCAAACTACAATTGATCATAATTTTTACTAACATTAACTACAATGGTCAAAAGTCACTATTTACTTAAATTTAAGTTAACTAAAAATGCAATTTACCGAAATCAACATTGACCTTAATAACAAATGGAAGAAATTTTAATTGGTCTAAACTACAATTGACCCAAACTACAATTGACCGAAATTTTTACTGCCTTTAACTACAATTGTCAAAAGTCACTATTTACTAAAATTAAAGTTAACTAAAAATACAATTGACCGAAATTTTAATTAAATTAAACTACAATTGACCATAATTTTTACTGGCATTAACTACAATGGTCAAAAGTCACTATTTACTTAAATTTAAGTTAACTAAAACTACAATTGACCGAAATTTTCACTGACCTTAACTACAATTGCCCGAAATTTTTACTGACCTTAACTACAATGTTCAAAAGTCACTATTTACTAAAATTAAAATTAACTAGAACTACAATTGACCGAAATTTTAATTGACCCAAACTACAATTGATCATAATTTTTACTAACATTAACTACAATGGTCAAAAGTCACTATTTACTTAAATTTAAGTTAACTAAAAATGCAATTTACCGAAATCAACATTGACCTTAATAACAAATGGAAGAAATTTTAATTGGTCTAAACTACAATTGACCCAAATTACAATTGACCGAAATTTTTACTGCCTTTAACTACAATTGTCAAAAGTCACTATTTACTAAAATTAAAGTTAACTAAAAATACAATTGACCGAAATTTTAATTTAATTAAACTACAATTGACCATAATTTTTACTGGCATTAACTACAATGGTAAAAAGTCACTATTTACTTAAATTTAAGTTAACTAAAACTACAATTGACCGAAATCATCATTGACCATAATAACAAATGGACGCAATTTCAATTGACCTAAACTACAATTGACCCTAAATTATTACTGACCAGAGCTAAAATTGCCAGAGGTTGCTTATAACCGAATCTTAAATTATTTGAAACTATAAGTGGTCAAATTTTTCACTGACCTGAACTACAATTGTCAAAAGTCACTATTGACTATAATTAAAAATAACTAAAACTACAATTGACCGAAATCATCATTGACCATAATAATAATTGACTGAATTTTTTTTGCCCTGAATTATAAATAGCAAAGACAAGTGAAAATTGACCCCGTAGTGACCGAACATAAACTTAAATGAAACGATTATTGACCTAAACTACAAACTGTTGAAAATATTGACCTAAACTAAAATTAGCTAAAATAACTATTGTCCGAAATTTAAATTGACTAAATTTACCATTGATCATAATGATCTACTTTTTAAAACTACCATTTGAAACTACCATTTGATGAAAATGTCAGTTTAAATGAAAATTTATTTCAACTACAACTGACCGAAATTAAAATTGACCTAAAATAATTTTTAAATAAAAACGACCATTACTTTTTGGTAGTGAATAAAAATTACTGTCAATTATTATCTTTGATTGAAAATGTCATTAACTGAAAGTATAAGTTCAGTGCACCTGTAAATATATTTTTTTTCTCTTTAAATCGTTAAATTGAGTCCAACTGTTAAACGTTGCAAAATTTGCAATTGCATTAGAAAAATTCCTAATGGCAAACTGCAAACAAAAGCTTTAGTAACAGTGTGGAATAATATACTCACTTCGCGTATTAGAAGTTCTCGGTCAGATGAAGAAAGACCTAGGCCTTCAAGTGTACAATCTCCTTCAATTGCAACGACCTTATGACGAAATTTTGGCATTTTCTCTTTCATAACTTCAAAGATCTGAAAAAAATGGCAATTTGATTATTTGAATTTTTTATTTGAAAATTAAATTTGAAAATTAAAATTTTTGTCCAGAAAAAAAATTTTTTCATTATTTAAAAAATCCGAAAATAATTATTTGGAAAAAATAATTATTAACACAGAAAAGAAATTATATTTAAATTTAGAAATTAGATTAATTTTTTTAAAATTAAATTCTTAATTTCAAAATTTATAATTTTTTAACACCGAGTTCGATTTTAATAATTTTTCAATATTGAAATAATTAAAATGTTTCTTTATAATTCATATTGCAGTTTCAGTTTTTTTCTTTTCTTTTTTTTTAGACTTTTTTTTGAGAAAACATTAACTCTTTAAGTCTCGTGAAATTATAATTAGGAATATTTATCCCCAATATGATAATTTCACGTGTTTTAAATTAAGTCGTAGAAAAATAATTCTTCACGATTCAGATTTTAAGAAAAAAAAAATTTTAATTCAAAGTACTTTTCATAACTAACTTTTCATTATAATTTAATTTCCTTATTTTAATATTAGGATTTGCACTTAATTGGAAATTTTTTATTTCTATTTGATTTTTCTACTCAGATCTTTTTCTCCATATCATTAATAATAAATTGTATTTAAAATTTTTATTGCCTTTTTTTACTAGCTAATAGTGTCTATTAAAAAAAAAGTGCACTGTCCACTCAATAGATTACTTTATAAAGGCAAAAATAGTGTTGGATAATTAAAATTACGCGGATTATGTTAATTATACAACTTGCTTATTAATTTGAAATATCATTCGTTATCATTCGATTTTAAATACAAAAAATTTATTTGCACCGAGAGAAAAATTATAACAAACTTTATTGATAATTTAATTGAAATTTTAAATGTTTTCGAATTAAAATTTATAATTAAAATTCTAGATTAATGATAGAGAAGAAAAATTTCTAATAGGATTTTAATGGTTTTTTATTTAAATTCAATCGGGAAATAAAATTTATCGTTTATAAAGCAAATACCTAAAATATTATTAATAATAATTATAAAACAAATATTATGAAATATAAAAAAAATTTGTTTCTGTGTTTATTTTTTTTTTGTGATTTCAAAAATTGAATGAATCACATGTCATTTATCTTTATCGAGAAAACAATTATAAGATTTTTTTTTATTATTCGAAAAACTTGTTCTGCAATTATTTTTTTTTTTGTTTTGGTAAAATTTTAAAACTTATATTTTCTCAATTTTAGAAAAAAAATTTTTATTTTATTTTAATATATTGCTGTTACATTTAAATTGTAAATATTTTTTTTGCAATATTTTAAAAGAAATTGAATCGAACCACATTGTCTTTTTTTTATTTAATTTACTATTTGTTTATTTATTAAATTTTCATTTGTTTTCTTCATTAAATTTTTATTTACTTAATTTACTTTCTTAATTTCTATTTTTTATTATTTATTTTATTTATTTATTAAGAATAAGTTTATTATTTGTTAATTTCAATTTAGAAACGTAAATAACAACTCTTATAAACTGAAAGAAATTGAAATGATTTTTTAAAAATTGGATTCAACCCTTTTGATACTATTATTTATTAATAATTTTTATTTAGTAATTTGGTAATTAATTTAGTAATTATTTAGTAATTAATACTATTAGTAATAATAAAGAATTATTAATTAATTAATTGTTTATAAATTAATTTATTTCAAACTTTGCCTTAAATTATGTCAAATGAAATAAATACGTGAATGAATTTTTATCAGTCACCTCAGTCATTCAAAAAATGTAAAGTAAACAAAAATTTATTAAAAGCCGCAGTTTTTATGGTATTGCGGGAGACTAGAAGAAAAAAAAAAGGATTCTTGAAAGTAATTTGCAAAATTCATTTAAAAAATAAAAAAAATGTTCAATTAACGGCTTCTTCTTATTCGTTATTTGCACAAAATTTGAAGGCGATATGTAGTGTTTTAAAGAAAGGACATGACACACTACGAATTATTTTATTTACCAACGTAAGTGTGCATTACAGAATTTGATGACGTATTACTTTTGCCGATCGTCCTTGAAACGTGCGATTCATTATTGATCTTCGACATCATATATTTATTTTAGTAATACTCGATTGTGTTAATTAGCTGCCGCACCTACGTGATCAAAGAGACCAAAAGGGAATTTACAAATCAGAGGGAGCATAAACATTTCTAAAATTGAATTTTCAAGTACTTGAAATTTTAAGTATATTTTTTTAAATGCGAAATTTTTTCGTAGCAATGTTAAGGACCGCAGTGAAGGACTGGGGTAATTTTGACATTCGCAAATGGGGTCGTTTTGATTTTTTTTAAAGATAATTTATTCAAATTTAAAAATGTTAAATTTAAATGTTCAATGTTGACTTCAATGGTTACCCCACGAGTGCGATAAATTTAACACTACCGTCGGGGTCAGTTTGGAACTCATTGTCATTAATTTATTAATTAATTAGAACTATTAAATTAATTTCACAACTTAAATAATTTAATATATCACGATAAATATTTATTAAAATATTAATAAATATTAATTAAATAAAAAAACAATTAATCAAATAAATAAACAATTAAACAAATAGTTGACTATATAATTAAATAAATAAACAGATTGAATCAAAAGTTCTTAATTAAGTAAACAATTCAGTAGGTAGTTAAATAATTAAATAAACAAAATAAATAATAAAATGGATGATTAAATAGATAGTCAAATAAATAAACAAATGAATAATAAAATGGATAATTAAATAAATAAACAATTAAACAAGTACTTGATTACATAATCAAATAATTAAACAAATGAATAAAAAATTGTTAAATAAATAAATAATTAAATAGATAGCTAAATAAATAATTATTTAAATAATTTACTAGATAGTTAAATAATTTAAAAGATGTATGAATAATTAATTAAATAAATAATCGATTAAAGTGAAATAAAAAAAAAAGTGTAATAAAATGCAAAATTTTTAAAATGAAGAAATTTGAATTGCCTTGCAAATAATGAAAAAAAATGACAGACATTCTCCTTAATTCTTACAAATTGTGTAAACAAAATTTAAGAGAGGTATTTCTTCAATTGAGACTTTTTTTTATTGCTTCCTGTACTATTTTCTCTATAAAAACAGTTAACGCTTTAAAAGCGAAATAGAAAAAAAATCCGAATGCTTTGAGTGCGAAGAAAAAAACTACTGAGAATACAATGCTAAAAGTTTGCAAAATATGCTAAATATTTTTTAAAAGAAAATATAATATTGATGTTTGCATACGAAATTAAGAATGATTCGTCTATTTTTAAAGTGTCTTAAAAAAGAAAAAAAAAATTTATCTTCAAGTTCAATGACATTACTATAATATGTATTATCTACTAAGATTGAAAATGACTGTCACTTTTCAATTATGTAAGTATTTTCAAAAAATATAAATTGAGTTATTAAATATTCTATAAGAGAACTAAAAAAAAATTGAACGAATTAATTCCTCCTTCTAATTATACAAAATTTTGTTTGTTCGCTTATTTATTTATGTAAAAGTTTTTTCTTCCTCTATAATTACTATATTTCTTTACAAAAATTTTTTTCTTCGGACTAATTTACTATTTATTGATTGAAGTATATTTATTTATTGAATTAATTAATATGTAGTACATATTTTTTTTTATTACAAACAAATATTGTTGATTTTAATTTACTTTTGAACATTGACTGGAAAAAAAAATTTTTTTTCCCCCATAAATTGCAATAATTTATTATTCATAAACGAATGGGTACTTTAAAATTACGTGAGAAAATTATCTATTTATCAAATCATTTAATGAAGCTGATTATTGATTTATGAATTTTTAATATTTTTTTCCTAAAATTTTTTATTTAATCGATTAATTCTTTATTTTGCAAAAACCAACCTACATTTAATTAAAGAGTCGTGAAAAATCAGATTGAAATTATTTTTCCACAGAAAAATGGAAAATTTTTCTCATTTCATTAAACGTAAACAGCATTGCAAGAAACTAATTAACAAATTTCTTTGGTGCAATTTTTTTTCATTAATTATTATAAATTTTCTTGAGAGAGAGAGAGAGAAAATTTATTTTTCCATTTAGAAGAAATATCAAGAATAATAATTATGATATTAAGAATATTATTAACAATAGATTAAAAAATAGCTCATTTAATAGATATTTTTTTAATAAATAAATTTTAATAATAAAATAAACAAAGAAAAAGAAACTTACCAAATCCTCAAATAAGTCATTCATTCTTCTTTCGACATTTTTCTCCTTTTTCGGTCGTATCAAAAGGTAAATCGTTGACAAATCTGGGCAGCTTCTTAAAAGCTTTTCAATTAGAATTTTTCCCAAGAATCCAGTTCCGCCTAATAGATAAAATCAAATTTAGAATTTAATTTCTTATTTTAATTTTACTTTCTTTTAATTATGCAATAGAAGTGAGGATAATAATAAAAAGCAAAAAAAAAAATTACATATAATAAAAATAATTACAATTACTTAATTATTTCTATTATTTCTTATTATTTTATTTATTATTTATTTGATTTATTAGGAAAATAAATTTAACAAGAATAAATAAATAAAATTACCAGTGATGAATATTTTTTGTCCAGCATAAAATTCTTGAATTGGTGTTCCTGGATTGATGACAATTCCATTTCTATGTGAACTGGTAATTTTATTATTGTTCGTTTCATCTCCAATAATATTAGAATATGTATTCTCCGTCTGAAACAATTTTACATTATATTTATATTATATTTATATTATTTATATTTATTTATTATTTTTAATTACAATTATTCATATTTATTTTCTACATATTTTATATTTATGAAAAAATTTAATTAAATATTATTAAAAAAAGTAAACTTTTTTAATAATATTTAATTAAATTTTTTCGTTGTTACATTTTCCACTCTATTTTCTTATAATAAAAATAATTTATTTATTTAATATATGAATAAAAATAAAAAAAATTCTCTTTGGTACAAATAGTACTTATAATTAAATATTTATATTCTAACAAAATAAAGAAGTGTCTCGCTAAAAATAATAATAATAATATTTGTAAATATTCACAACAATTTTAACGGTTTACCATAAATTGTTTGTTTACTTTTGTCATTAACTGTTCACGCCTATTAGAAAATATAAGAAAAAGGAAAAAGAGAATTTTATATTTCTATAATTATCGGAAATAGTGTCAGTTTATTTCGTGCAACGAGGCAAATTTTAATGCACGTTTGGAATCCGTGCAAGAAAAGTGTTCTAATGTTTTTGACCCACTTCCGTCAATTTATATATTGAGTATAATTATTAGTTTAACATTTTTTCCCTTCATTAATTTTATATATTTAAATATAAATATTATATTTTTTGGAAAAATTGGTTTTTTTCATTTTTTTCGTTCTAAATAAAACGTATTGCTTTCTTTTCATTTGATTTTACTATTTACAGAAGACGATTTCGATAAAAACTTTTTTAATTTGTTATTTCTACTTTTTTTGTTATTTTGACTTAAAAAAATATTTTTTACTTATAAATTATTCACTTATAATTTAAAAATTTATTTATTTATTTATTTATTCAATTTTTGTTTTGGATAAATTTTCTTTATTATTTGTTTAATATGTTTTTTTTGCTATCGACAAACTTAACTTTATTTATTTTTTCAATTTTCAATTACTTTATTGTTCACTTACTTACTTTATTCATTTATGTATTTATAATTTATTTATTTCAAACAACAAAAATAATTTAATTCAACTATTATTATTATTATTATTATTATTATTATTATTATTAAAAAATTATTTATTTATTAAATAATTATTAAAAACACACATTAATATTATTATACGTCAACAATATATAATTATAAATTAATAAATAATTGAAAAAGTGAAATAAATAATATTAATAATAAACAAATAGTTAAATAAAAGAAAATAATAGAAACTGTTTAAAAAAAAATTTTTCTGTACCTATCGAAAAGTTTATTCTTTTCTTAGATAAAAGTTAAAGAACCCACATTTCAATTCATCGTGATTGGCATAAAGTTTGGTTTAAATAGGAAATAACAAAAAAAAATATTGTCTTTCTGTCAAAAAAAAAAAAAAAAAATTTACAAATTGCCGTTTTCCCTTCTTTGACAGTTTACAATAATTCTGACCTTAATATTCATTATCTTCTTCTTATTTTTTTTACATGTCATGCTCTCAGTGAACATTTTTTTTTCTTTTTTCACAATCATCAATCTTTTTTGACGAATTGTTTCTTTGTCACTTGCGCATATGACTTGAGAAAATAGAAAATTTTCGTCATCAAAAATAAACGATAGAGTTCATTGCACTTTTATCGTTTTAGAATTTATATAAAAAAATTTAATTGTATCATATTCACGTTCTCAATGTCAAGGACATTATCTTTCAATCATTTAACTACAGTTAACTATACATATATACATTTTTACTTATATATTATTTCCGTTACAAGAAGACTAGTTCAATTACTTTATAATCATTCATAACGGTTACAATTATTGTTAATATTCAATTATTTATTTATATATTTATTTATTTATCTATTTGTTTATCTATTTATTTATTATTTATTTATTTCTCGACTTTATTTATTTATTTTTTTATTTATTTACTTACTTATTTACTTATTTATTTATTTATTTTATTCACCTCTAGAATTTTTTTTTATATTTTTTATTTCTTTTATTTAATAAAAAAAAATATTTATTGTTAATAAAAAAATTTTGTCTATCACATATGTTTCGAAAATAATCTTTATTCTAATTTTAATTTTTTATTAATTTTCAAGTCTTATCTTTTCTTCTAATTTTTTGTTTGGAAACAAAATTTATTGTAAAAAATATTTAAATTCGAAATATATTTAGTAAATTTTTTATTTAAATTCAGAATATTGAGATGTCGAGATTTTATATAAAATTTTTGTTTTTTGCAGGTTTGGGAGTGACGACCGAAATTTCCAAAATTGCGAGTGTTTTTTTTTGGTGATTCAAATTGTTTGACAAGACACGAGAGTGCAAATCAAAAAAGCGGAGATGGTAAGTTTTTAATAATTTTTTAAATTTAATTTGTAATTTTTTATTTTATTCAACACTATTATATTAAATTCAAATTTTAATAGAAGAAATTTTCAGTTATTTAATATACAATAATGACATGTGTGACAAATAAAGTTAAAATATGGAAAAGATTAAGAAAATTGTTTAAAAATGCAGATTTTTATTAATTGTAAAATTAATAAACTTAATAAAATCAATAAAATTAATAAAATTTACTAAAATTTACTAAAATTAATAATTCTTAGATAAATGGAATAAAATTTTAATTTGTAAATGTAAAAGTAAAATTAAAAAAAAATTATTGAATTTTGATAAAAAGGAAATTTTTTTGTTTTGTTCTTATTTTGCTAATTTTTAATTAATAGTTTTGCTAAAGATTTTATTTTAAGAATTTTTCTTTTTCTAAAGTCAGATTTTGATTTTATACACGCATTATATCTACATATAATAATAATTTTTTGTACAATTTTTTTTTACTACTAGTTAACTATGTATTGCGTAAGTTTGAATATAGAAAAGGGTTAACGCTTTCACCGTTTAGACTTATGCTAAACTATAGACAATTAGAATTACGTCTGTATTATGCATTACATTGGGTTATATCTTTTTACAACATCGAAACATATTTTTCATTCAATTTAAAAACATTTATTTTTCTCCACATTGTAACGGCGAATTATAATTATCAATCTGCCTTCTTTTACACCTCTTAATTCCACGTATTAATTTCGCAAAAAAAAAACATTTTTATTCCCTTCTTTAAACAAATCTTTTAACAAAAAATTTACTCTCCCATTTTTTTTTATTCTTTCTCTAAACAAATTATTATTATTCGATTCTGTTCTAGTTCTCAATGCAAAAAAATTTAACTGAAGAATGTAAATTTAACAAGTAAAGAAATTTTTTTTCGACAGAAAAAATATAATAAATAATTAACAAAAATTAATCAAAACAAAATAATTTTAGTTTATTATAATACGAATAAATAAATAAATAATTTATTAAAATTAAAATACACATCGAATAAATAAATACATAGAATATTTTTTACTTTATTAATAATTATTTATTATTGCATTATAATTTATTTGCAATTATAAATTATTAAATTCATTATTATTAAATATTTGATTTAATGTATTATAAACGGGACTTGCCCTTTAGTTATTAAATTATTTATGATTTAACGAAGTGAGAACATTATTAAATAAATATAATATTTTTTATATTATTTATTTACTATTTTTTGAATCATATTTTTTATTCTTTTAAATTTTCACTTATGAATTTTTTTTTTGTAAATTCGTATGTTTTGAGGCAGTACAAAAACTTTTTTTTTGTCATTGCATTTTTTTTCAATTTTTAAAAAGTAATGAAGCGTTTCTTTTAAAAGAACATTAAAATAAAACTGTTATGAGTGATAAATAAAATTTAAATTTCTTTAGTTCTCACATGTTTAGGTATTTAACCTGTAACACACATTATGAAATCGAATCGTTTCATCTTTATCGAATTAGAAAAATAAATTAGATAAATCGTAAATTCAATCTACATATATAGGAACTTTCTAAAAACCTGAAATTTCGACATACACCGTTAGAAATTTTTGAATTTCGGCAGAATACATTTTTTATTTCCTTTTTTGAGTATTTTTCATAAATAATTTGATTTTTATTCGTAAAAAACGATTGAAGAATAGTAAACACTAGTAATAAATAAATAAAGAAGTAATAATAAATAATTAATTAATAAATAAATAGACAAATTTTATTGAAAAGGGTTTTTTAATTTTAATTTTTTATTAATTTTTTTAATTTTCTTTTTCAATTTATTATTTACTTATCGTAACTTTATTATTGGTTTCCTAATTTTTATTTGTTTTTATTTATTTTTATTTATTATTATCTATTTTTTAAAAATTTTTATTCCAAGAAAGGGAAATAAAAAATTATTTTGCGAAAATTGGAATTAAAATAAATAATGAATAAGAAATTAATTAGTGTGCTTAATTACTTAGGAAGTTTTAAATACAATAAGGTAAATAAAAAAATACATCCTGAGTGAAATAAATAAATAACTTGAATTAATTATCATATAAATTTTCTAAAATAATTTTGAGACAGATTTTTTTTTCCCTTGTTTTTCCTATTTTTCTTTAAAAAAAAAAAAAATTGTCAGTTATATAAGAATTGAGAAAAGTTTTCAAAAAAAGAAGAAATGGAAAAATTTTAACAATGTAATAAAAATGAACATTCATATACAATATTTAAACGTTTTGTGTTCAAATGTAGATATACTGCATAATAGACTTTCTCATCTTAAAATGTTCATATATCATGAGGCTAAAGTCCGCAACGTTTTCAAAAACAAAAAAGAATTTTTTTTTCAAGTTAATTCATCCTTAATTTTTTTATGCACAAACTTTCAGAAAAAAAAATTCATCCTTTCTTAGATCCACAGTTCGCAAATTTTAAATAATTGGAAATTTAAAGTCTTCAATATTATTATTTTTTTTTTTAATCTTTCAAAATAAATCGAATTTTAACTTTATATTATATAGTTTCTAACGATAAGAGAAAAGTTATACACGACAATAATAAAAGGAACATCAAACTTGTACGAAGATAAATAATAAAAAAATATACTAGAAAAAAGCACTAAAAAAATGCATTTGAAAAAATTGTATATCTATATAGTATTCGAGAACAGTAAAATTTTTCTTTAATATTTTTCCATTGTATTATCAGTATTGCGAAAAAAATGTCTCATTTATTTAAATTTTCATAAATTAAATTATTGTTGTTTCAAAATATTTTGTTATTCAATAAGATTTAATATATTTTATTACTATTATTATTATTTTTTACTATTATTACTATTATTGTTGTTATTATTATTATTTTTATAATTATTCTTATTATTATTATTATCAATATTTTTTCTATTTTCATTTTTTTTTTCATTTCATTTCATTTGTTTATTTTTATTGTTTTTAATAAAAGAAAATAAATTTATTTGTTCTTTATCAACAAAACGTTATTTTTTTAAATAATTAATTAATTCTCAGGGGGTAGAATATTTATTTTCGATATATTTGTGAATCAGGCAATTTTTTTCTTTTTTAATTACACTAACTTTACAGAAGTAAATGGAAAAAGATAATAAAATGATTTTTTTTATTAGTTAACATAAATAAAAATAAAAAATAGTAAAAATAAATAAAAATAATAAAAATAAGTAAAAATTAAAAATGGTAAAAATAAATAAAAATAATAAAAATAAGTAAAAATTAAAAATGGTAAAAATAAATAAAAATAAAAAATTGTTTAAATAAAGAAAATAAAAAATAGTATAAATAAAAAAAAATAGTAAAAATAAATAAAAAATAAAGAATAGTAAAAAGAAATGAAAATTAGTAATTCTCGCATATATACAAAAGTAGACGTTAAATTTTTATGCTTATTTGAAGTTTAAAATCGATGAAACATGAAAGAGTGTATCTGGTAATGGGCATTTCTCTCGCACAAAACCAATTTTTGTTACATCAGCAAGAGTGCCTCTTATAAGATACTTCCACATTATGTAATAATTTTGATCCGGGAAAGTTGATTTGTTCCGTAACACGTGTTTCGAAAATTCTGATCGCACATTGAATCTTTTTGGCATTCTAGGTTAAAACAAATATTATTCAAAAAAAAAGAAGATTTTAACAAAAAAAAAATTTTTTTTCGAAATTTAAAAAAAGGAACATTTTTCTTTCAAGTTGCATTTGATATTTAAATGTAGAATCCAATATAGTAAATTGTATTTTAAACGAATTTTAACTACTTTTATCATTTTAGCTCTATACCTTTAACACTAGATTGTAAATTAATTAACTTCAAAAAGACTAATTAAAAAAAAAACTTAAAAAAATTTTTTTTTTCATTTATTTTTAATTAACATTTTCTTTAATGGACATTGTTTATTTGAAATTAATACTGTCAGTTATTTCTAAACAGAACATGTCATTATAAAACAAAATGAAAAAAATTGTTTAACAAATTTCCGTTTGCAAATAAAATTGATTTTTATTATATTACTACAATTAAATTTAATTAAAATAATGATTAAATTTTATTTATATTTTGTTTGTTTCTTATTTTATCATTTTTATTACTAAATAAATAAATTTAAAAAATTCGTACTTAGCTTAATTTTTTGAAATAGAATAATTGAGGGGAAATTAATTAATGTGGATAAATTCCCGACGATTTTCTAATAGTAATTAAGAGAAATATTGATATTGTTTATAGTACAAAATTATATCAAATGTAACACATTATTTCTGTCTGTTCACAATTTTTCTCATACATATTTTAAGAAAAAAAAAAAAAAGAAACCAGTGTTTTTTGTTTCGATAATATATAAGTAATTATGAAAGTACTGTTCTTTAAGAACTTCAAGTGAAATGTTGCAATTCAACGGACTTTTTTTTTTAAAAAATAAAGAATTATTATATTTATGCATTCCTGCTCAAGTGCAATGACACAATTTAAGTTAAAATTATAATAGACGGTAATTTTGTTATTGTTGTTGCTAATTTTAAAAAACTAAAATGGCTAAAAACTTATTTCCCCATTCGAAAAAAAAATGAAGCAACAAATTCTCACGATTAATAATAATAAAAATAATAATTAATAAGATTAATAATTATAATTATAATCGTAACAATAAAGACCGTATATTGTTTAAATAATAAATTAATTAATTAATTAATTAAAATAAATAATTTTCAAGAAATAATTAAGACATAAAATTTATTTATAAAAATAAGAAAATAAAAATAATAAAGATAAAAAATGTAATAAATAATAATAAAGAAAATAATAATGTAATAAATAATAATAAAAATAACTAATAACAGTGTTAATTAAAATTTATAAACAAAATGAATTAAAAATTTTCGAGGAAAGAAATGTTCCTTTACTGTTTAAAGAGAAATGTCTTCCGTAAAGCAGAAAAAAAGATAGAGAACCTAAGAGTGTATTAGTTCATAAATATAAACTTAAAACCACTAATTTTCAAACTAACGGCTTCTTAAGATTCAACGTACAATTATATCTATATATTCCAGTTTCAGGTTCTTAAAGGATGTTTGTTTAAAAAAAAAAAAAAAATAAAAAAAGAAAGAAATTAGTTTATTTATAAAACATGTCAAATAAAAATTGGCAAATAATTTCAAATATTTCCGTTTAATTTGGTGTAAATATACAATTTTATGTAATATACAATGTAATAGATGTAGGAAATATTTTTCTAATCAATTCATTAAATTTTTTAAAAATATTTATTAGAATCAATGCTCACGGAAAAGAAAATTTACCTGCTTTAGCTATAAATTTCACTGTATTAGCGAAATGCTTCGATGTTTTAGTTTTAAGACTTTCGATATTTTAGCAAAAATTTTCGCTCCTTCAGGGAAAGATTTTTTTTCGTAGTGTAAATAAATATAAATAAATAGAAAAATAAGATTTAAATAATTGATTAGGAAATAAATTAATAGAAAATATTAGATATTCATCATTTTATTATAATTAATTAATAATATCTTTTAGATATTAAGGGGAAAAAATTATTAAAAATATAAAGTTCAGTTACGTTTTTTTCTGTAATAAGTTTAAACAATTTTTTTTCAGTCTTTTTGTATAATAATAAAAAGGTAAAGAAAATTCTCGAAATAGAATGTCCTTTTTGTAAAGCAAAAAATTCTTTTTGTAAAAATTAAAGTCTGAGTGGATCATTTAATATTAATTTTCTAATTTACAATTAAAAAAACGGATTAAATTTAAATAGTACTTATTCAAATTGTAAAATTTATAAAAATTGAACGAATTTATGAAATAATGTTCGTTAATTAAAAAATGTTACTATAACTAAATTATTATAATCCAATTTATGATGAAAATATTTATAAAATATAATTTATAAACTTAAAAAAAATCAAAATACAATTTGTATTTAATAATAAAGAAAATTTTAGAATGAGATAGAAAATAAAAAATTAAGAAAATATAAAATTGAATTTATATTTTGTCCCGTTTGTAAACAAATAAATAAATAGGTAAATAAGTAAATAAATAAATAAAAAAAATAAATTTATAGAAAAATATTAAATTTAATTGATGAAGAAAATAATACTAACTTCTTGTGAGATGTCAATTTCGGGATACATTTTTTTTTTTAAAGGTGATTGGCACTTTTTTTTGTGTCGATCCAAGAATTTGATGATTTTGCGACAATAAAGTCGCTAATTTTCTTACTTTTCTCTCTTTCCTTCCTTTATCTCTCTTTCACACACTCTTTTGTAATTTCAATAACTGGTGTTATTGAATAAAATTTTTGATTAAAAAAAAAAAAATTATGTCACATCAACTATTTTGACCGCATTAGAAAAAAATTTTTTTTTTCTTCCTTTTATCAAAAAAATAAAAAAAAAAGATTGAAAATCACAAATAGAAATATAGAGGTAGAGAAAAATTAAAGATAATTCTTGTGCGGAAGTTGATAAATCCGCGAGCGTCCTTGCCTTTGGACGTTGACTCGACACGAGATTGAAGAATACTGAACAATTGTTCCACGAGCAAGTGGAACTGGCCCGTCCCCGATCGGTATACCACTTGACAACTTTACTCTTTTCACCACCTGTCTATAACCTTATTCAGAATGGTTTACACAAAAATAATGATTTTTAATGTGTGGTGAACGTTTATTTGAAAATGACGATTTTCTATAAGTCAGAGTTCAATAGGAAAAATTGGAAAATTTTTTTAAGAAACAAATTTTCTTTTCCTCTTTGCTTATAATTTTTTTTTTATTTACTATGTAAGTGTTAAGTAGTATTTAATTTATTATTTAATAGTTTAGAAATTTTTTTTGAAAAATTTACCTTGTGTCTAGATTATTGAATTTTGATAAAAATTTACAATTGTTTTTTATTTTTCCATTTTTATCTGTTTATTTGACCTAAATTTTGAGGGTTCGTTCGCGTCTTGAACTAGAGGTAAAGAAGAATTATTTAGTTAAATTTTATTTCTTATTTTTTTCTTATCTTTCGACCTAATTTGACCTAAATTTTAATTTATTTTCTCATTTCGACCTTTTTATTTGACCTAAATTTTGAGGGTACGTTCATAATTTGAATCAGAGATCAAGAAGAAAGACTTTTTTTAACCAAATTTTATTTTTTTACCTCTCGACCTAAATTTTAAATTATTTATTTATTTTGACCTAAATTTTAAAGGTTCGTTCACACTTCGAACCAGAGGTAGGAAGAATAATTTTTTTATCTTAATTTTATTTTTCTTTATGCTTCGAGTTAAATTTAAATTATTTTTTTATTTTGACCTTTTCGTTTGACCTAAAATTTAAGGGTACGTTCACATCTCGAATAAGAGATAAAGAAGAAAGACTATTTATATCTAAACTTTATTTTTTTACCTTTTGACCCAAATTTTAATTTATTTTCTCATTTCGACCTTTTTATTTGACCTAAATTTTAAGGGTACGTTCACATCTTGAATCAGAGATAAAGAAGAAAGACTTTTTTTTATCTAAATTTTATTTTTTCACCTCTCGACCTAAATTATATTCTTGTTTTGACCTGAATTTTAAAGGTACGTTCACATTGTACCAGAAGTAAAGAAAAAGAATTTTTTTACCTTAATTTTATTTTTCTTTATGTTTCGAGTTAAATTTGCATTTTTTTTTAAATTTTGACCTTTTCGTTTGACCTAAAGTTTAAGGCTACGTTCACATCTCGAATCAGAGATAAAGAAGAAAGACTTTTTTATCTAAACTTTATTTATTTACCTTTTGACCCAAATTTTAATTTATTTTCTCATTTCGACCTTTTTATTTGACCTAAATTTTAAGGGTACGTTCACATCTTGAATCAAAGATAAAGAAAAAAGACTTTCTTTATCTAAATTTTATTTTTTCACCTCTCGACCTAAATTATATTCTTATTTTGACCTGAATTTTAAAGGTACGTTCACACTGAACCAGAAGTAAAGAAGAAGAATTTTTTTACCTTAATTTTATTTTTCTTTATGTTTCGAGTTAAATTAGCATTTTTTTTTAAATTTTGACCTTTTCGTTTGACCTAAAGTTTAAGGGTACGTTCACATCTTGAATCAGAGATAAAGATTAAAGACTTTTTTTTACCTGATTACTTGACCTTATTGTTGAAGGTATGTTAAAATTTTGAACCAAAGGTAAAAAATAATTTCTGTATCTAATCTTTTTTTACCTTTGGATCTGAATTTTAAGTTACTTTTTATTTTGACTTGTTTATTTGACCTAAAATTTGAGGGTTTGTTTAAATTTTGAATTAAAGGTCAAAAGAATAATTATTTAAATCTAAATTATTTTTTTTGTACCTTTTGACCTGAATTTTAATTTATTTTCTCATTTCGACCTTTTTATTTGACCTAAATTTTAAGGGTACGTTCACATCTTGAATCAAAGATAAAGAAGAAAGACTTTTTTTATCTAAATTTTATTTTTTTACCTCTCGACCTAAATTATATTCTTATTTTGACCTGAATTTTAAAGGTACGTTCACACTGAACCAGAAGTAAAGAAGAAGAATTTTTTACCTTAATTTTATTTTTCTTTATGTTCCGAGTTAAATTTGCATTTTTTTTTAAATTTTGACCTTTTCGTTTGACCTAAAGTTTAAGGCTACGTTCACATCTCGAATCAGAGATAAAGAAGAAAGACTTTTTTATCTAAACTTTATTTTTTTACCTTTTGACCTAAATTTTAATTTATTTTCTCATTTCGACCTTTTTATTTGACCTAAATTTTAAGGGTACGTTCAAATCTTGAATCAAAGATAAAGAAGAAAGACTTTTTTTATCTAAATTTTATTTTTTTACCTCTCGACCTAAATTATATTCTTATTTTGACCTGAATTTTAAAGGTACGTTCACACTGAACCAGAAGTAAAGAAGAAGAATTTTTTACCTTAATTTTATTTTTCTTTATGTTCCGAGTTAAATTTGCATTTTTTTTTAAATTTAGACCTTTTCGTTTGACCTAAAGTTTAAGGGTACGTTCACATCTTGAATCAGAGATAAAGATTAAAGACTTTTTTTTACCTGATTACTTGACCTTATTGTTGAAGGTATGTTAAAATTTTGAACCAAAGGTAAAAAAATAATTTCTGTATCTAATCTTTTTTTTACCTTTGGATCTGAATTTTAAGTTACTTTTTATTTTGACTTGTTTATTTGACCTAAAATTTGAGGGTTTGTTTAAATTTTGAATTAAAGGTCAAAAGAATAATTATTTTAATCTAAATTATTTTTTTTGTACCTTTTGACCTGAATTTTAATTTATTTTCTCATTTCGACCTTTTTATTTGACCTAAATTATGAGGGTATGTTAATATTTTTAATCAGGGGTAAGAAAGAAAATTTTTTTATCTTAATTTTATTTTTTCTTTATATTTTGACCTAAATTTTCCATTTTTCATATTTTGACCTGTGACAGACCTAAATTTGAGTTTATGACTACCTCTCGATCTACGATTAGGCCTACACTATGTCTTCTTAGATTTAGTAGGAAAAGTAAAAAAATTTCTTATATTATAATTAATTAAAAATTAAATTATTTAAATTAAAAATAAATAAATTAAAATTAAAATTAATTAATTAAATTAATAAAAATAAAATGAATTAAAATTAAATGAAATAACATGATATACATTTCCTATATATATAGAAAAAAGGTGCAATAGCAATGGTAAGAAAAATATAAACAAATAATTATTTAAATTAAAATACAATTGTTATTAATAAGTTAATAATTATTTAATAAAAATTTTTAAAAAAGGAAACAAAATATATTCACGAGAGGTGAAAATTAACCTCTTTTAAAAGGACAAATTTGAGAAAAAATATTTTATTTTTTTCTTATATTATTTCCATAACTGGTTTTTAAGTTTATAAACTTCCTGTTATTCTGTCTTTCTTTTATGGCTTTTTGTACTCTTTATTTTTGACATTAGAATCTTATTAGAAGTTGAATAGATTTGAATGATTGTTTGGGGGCAAAGGAACGTTTTATTTTATTTTTTAGGGTCCAAAGTCTTTTTTAATTCATTTGACACATGAAGGTCGAAAAACATTAATATTATTGTTGAACCTTTTAGGAAATCCCGTATTATTTGATTTTATAATAAAATGATCATAAATGACATAATTGTATCTATTATATTATAATTTGATGATGGAATCAAATATTTATTTTTTAAATGCCAAATATTAAAAAATTGAGAAGAAATATATTTTTTCTCAAAGATAATTAATTGTTGATATAGGTAATAATAATAAATAATAAATAAATAAATAAATAAATAAATAAATAAATAAATAAATAAATAAATAATGAATAAATAATAAATAAGTCAATAAATAAATAAATTATATTAATAATAGACTGATAATAATAGTTATTGTTAATAATAACAATATTCTGAAAAAATTAAAATAAAAAAATATAAATGAAAAAAAAATAGAAAAAGTAATAATAATTTACTATAAATTGAAATATTTAACTTCCAACATTAATATTTACAGTAAATAATATTACAAACTTATTTTTTCAAAAAAATTGTAATATTTAAAAATAGAGGAAGTAATTTAGTTTGTCAATTCTATATTATAATACAAAATCAATCTATAAAATTATGCAAATAATAATATGTCATTCGTCAAACACACATGACTGAAATTTTTAAGACATTGTCAATATGTAATTGGAAATATGACGTCGTCATTGTTCCCCATGTTGTTACTTTATTATTTTAGTATATATTTCCCCAAAGCCATCTCTATATACGAGAAGAAGAAAAAATTTATTTACAATATTTAATTTATTTCATTTGTCTCATAAATACGCAGAATTTTCTTGTTTTTTTTTTCAAAAAAATTTTCGCAAAATTATTCACTTTTTTCTTTTAAATTATTAGTGTCAAAAAGTCGCACGTTGAAAATTAAAATTACAAACAAATTTCAACTTGAAATTAATTTTATATATTTAACTTAAAATTTGAACTTAAATTTAAAATATTTTTTAAGTTACTTTATTAGTGAAGCAAAGTATTTAGTACAATGAAAATAGAAACATTTATTATTTATTATTATATAGACATATTTTTATTATTATTATAATTATTAATTATGATTAATTGTAATAAATAATAATAATTATTGTATTATTATTATTGATTGAATTAACATAATTAACTCTAACACGTGAAATTTTCTCAAAATTGATAATATGCAAAACTGACAGTAAACAGTAAAAAAAAGAAATTTTTTTTTTTAATATTTAATAATTTTTTTATTGATATTTTGAGTTTGAGTATAGATATTTGAATAACAATTAAATATTTGAAGAAACTTGGTGATAAATGCCACGATTTTCAAACAATAATTGCATTGTTCAATGATTATAGTTAATATGCATAACGCTATAGTACCTTGCACAAACAACATTGAACTCAAGATTTCTTCAACGATTAAACGAATAAGCTTTCGAATGTCAAAATAAATTTAGTCACTAATGACTAATTATTAATCAAAGGCTATTTAGTGAGAAATATTGCTTCCATTATATTTTTTCTAAATCAATTGTGTGTCTTTAAAATCATTAATCACAAAAATCAAATTATTTTAATTAGGCGAATAAATGTTAATTCTCTGTTTAATTTTTTTTATTAGTTTCGCAGTTGTAATTTAATTTTTTTTTTTTTGAGATAATAATGAAAATTACTTTTGGTAATTAAGTTAATAAATTTTCTCGGATGCTGATCGAGTGAATATTATGAATAAATAAATAATTAAACACTAATTATCAAATAAAAAGATTCTTTTTTGTTTTGGGTATTATTAATTAATTAATTATGTAAATTGTTCGTTCAGTAATTAAATTAATAAAATAATAATTGACCAATAATTACAGAATAAGAAAATTTTTTTTGGTTAAAATTAATTAATTAAATACGTAAATTTTTTGTTCGGTAATTAAATTAATAAAATAACAATTAAACAATAATTACCAAATAAAAAATCCCCTTTGTTTAATTAATTAATTTATTAAATTACCAAATAAAAAATCCCCCTTTGTTTAATAACTAATTAATTAATTAAATACTAAGTAAATTTTTGTTCGGTAATTAAATTAATAAAATAACAATTAAACAATAATAATTACCAAATAAAAAATAATAAATTAATAACTAATTAATTAACTAAACATGTAAATTTTTCTTTGGACAATTAAATTAATAAAATAACAATTAAACAGTAATTAAATTTAAATAAATTTTTTTAACAATACAAATTTTACAAATTGAAGAAATTTTGAATAATTTTAAATAATAATAATAAGCATTCAGAATTTTTTCTGCTTTCTTTCTCTATCGAGACAAAAAACAAATTTTGAAACGAAAAAGTGAGGGAGGGGGAGAGTTGGCCACGTGCCCGTTTTCATACAAAAAATTTAATGGAATGTTAGATGAATTCTTTTGGATTTAGTCCAATGTTTGGTTTCTTAATCTCCGGTCATTTTTGACTTGCAAATTTTTACTCCTCTTGATAGAAAGTATGTAATTTATAATTTATCAAAAATATGCGTTTATTTTGAAATTTAATTCTTTGTCGATAAGCATTTATATTTTTATTTAATTTTTTTTTTTATAATAACTGTTTTTTTTCAGTAATAAGTAAAGAAAAAAAAATTTTTGATAATGATCTTGATCTTGAAAAATAATAATAAATAATAATAGTTAATTACTTATTAATTGTAAAAGTATAATTAAAATTACATAATTATAATCACATAGTACTGAATTACATTATAATCAGAAAATTAATTTACGAAAATATATTTAATAAAATAAAAGGGATTTACTATTAACAATTTTTTTTAAATAAAAAATACAATAATTTTCGTTTGGTACAATAAATTTTTCATTTGAAACAAAAAAAAATTTTATTTTCAAATCTAAATTGAAAATATACATTTTTTTCAGAAAGAAATTTTAATTATTCCTTTGATAAGATTTTAAATTCAAATTAGTCTATAGAAAAAATTTAAATTGATTCTATTTATTGTTCTCTATTTCATTGTGTAACCATCGTTAGTCGAGATATAAATAAACAATTAAAATACAAAAAAGAAATAATTGAGTGATTTTAATTTTAAAAAAATACTGATTCTTGTGGAAACTTTTCCTTACAAAAATCAACAAAACGATTCGAAATTGATAAAAATTCGAAAGGTATGGAAAATGTTTCACAGACAAGAAGTCCAAAACAAAAATTCTAAACCAAAATATCCAAAGTAAATGAAATTGAAAAAAGGAAAAAAAAATAGTTTCACTTTGGACTTATTTTTTGGATTTTTTGTTTTGGTCAAAAAGTCCAAAGAAATTAAAAATCCAATCAAAAAAATTGAGAGATAAAAATTTGAATGGTTGCCTTCAATGAAATATTGTCCTTTTTTTGAGTTGCTCGTTTGGATGATTGTGAATCGAAAATAGGTAAACTTAACATTTTTAATTTCTGAAAATTATATTGAAAAAAATAATTGAATTTTTGTAAAGAATTTTAACAAAATTGTTGAAAATAATAATGTATTTCTTGGAATAATTGTTTTAAAAATTTTATAGAATAATAATTGGAATTTTCCTAGAAATTTTTTTTATTTATGAATGAAAATAATTGAATTTTTGTGATGAATTTTTTATTTATGAAAATAATTGAATTTTTGTAAAGAATTTTTTTATTTATGAAAATAATTGAATTTTTGTGAAGAATTTTATGAAAATAATTTAAAATCTTGCAATTTTAACATTAACATTTTAAATTCCGATTTTAAAGCGTAAAAAGTAAAAACGTGGCCTTTTCACAAGTTTCATTATTTATTTTGGATGTTTTTATTTATTTTTATTTTGGACTTTTTTTCTTGGATTTTTCGGTCTGGATTTTTTGTCCTGTAATCAAATATAAATATATTAAATATTTCAAAATTTTTCACACTCTGAAAAAATTTTTTTTGATTCAAATAAATATAATTACTTGTCTGTTATAAAATAGATATTTATTTAAGTCAAATAATGTTTTGTTTAAGTAAATGAAATGATATTTACTTCAAATTTATTGCTTCAACTTCAAATACATTTATTTGATTCAAGTAAATATTTCTTTGATAATAGACAATTGATTATTTTTTGTAAATCAAATTTTCTTTTTACAGTGCAAAAAAAAAAATTTTTCTATTTTTTAAAAATTATATTTTTGAATTTTTTTGGAATATTTTTGAATTAAAGACATTTTTTATAGTGAAATATTTTATAATTCGAAAATTACGGAAAATTATTACAACAATAAAATAAATGAATAAAGAAAAAATAATTTAAAAAAAAAATCCAAGAAAAATAATAAAAAATGTAAAAATAAAATGAGAAAACAAAAATGTTGAAAACAATTTTCAAATTGTTGGAATTTTTTTAGCGCTTTTCTCGGACTAAATTATTTATCAAAGTTGTTCAACTTGTATAATAGTCGTTATACCTCCAATCTAGAGTGTTATACAATTTCAAAGAGAAAGATAGATTTTTACTCTAATAAGATAAATAAAGATGGGCATTGTACCTGCATGCACACTTGTATAGATGTTTGGCTATCATTTCGTAATGTGAAAGTTTTAAAAGATCTCTTTCTTCGACTCTCCCTGAACCACGGCATTACTATTCACGGAATATTAAATAACTTATAAAATTAAGATACAAATTCTATGGCCCCACCAAAAAAAATATACTAATTATAATAAAAATTCAAAATCTTCTTTTTTTCTCTCTTTAAAACTATTTCTATATTTTCATTATGATAAAAATTTTAAGAGAAATCTTTTCAAAAATTTGGGAATTAATATTTTAAAAATAAATTTACTGTATATTTTGCTAAATTTAAAAGAAGAAAAATTTTTTCTCTTTTTATTTTTCACTTTTAATTAAATATCTTTTCCCTATTTTAATTTTTTTACTAATTTATTGTGATCTTATCTGATAATAAACAAATATTGTAGCGAATAAACGAAATAACTTATATAAATATTGAAGAAAATAAAATTTTGGTTTAAAATAAAATGTAAAATTTTAATTATATAAGATTGAATAGAAAAAAGAAATGTAAATTTAATGAATCCTAAATCGGAAATTGTGTGGTAAATAGAATAAAATTTACAGTAAATTGAATTAATTATGATGAATTAATAAATTAATGAATTGAGAATAATGATAATAATTCAAATTTAAAAAATATAAATATAAATGGAAAAGGAATTAAAACTAAAAATAAATAAATTCTGTAAAACAAAATTTGGTATCAACTCCTGGAAGAGCACTTCCATTAATTCAGCTCCGCAGAGAGGAAAGTCATATTTCAGGGGCAAGATAACTTAGAATTTTGTACTCACTTTTTTATTTCTTATTATTATTATTTTTTTATTATTGTTTTCTTCTTTTATTTTTACAACGAATATCAGTTATATTACTATTATTATTATTTTTTTTATTATTATCATTTTCTTTTTTTATTTTTACAATGAATATCAATCTATGTTCATAAAGATAAAATATTTACAAAGAAACAAAAATAAATCATTTCTGTTTTATCGTTCAATTAATTTTTCACTGACATTCGTAAATTCACTTTTCCAGCCAAGTGAAAACGTGAACGAAATTACAATATAAACACCCCAAATGACCAACATTAGCAATAAATATTTTATTATTCTGTGAATGAATAAAATCCTGTGAAAAAGAATTATTTTTATTAGTAAAAATAATATATAAATAATAATAAAAATATTTACAAATATGGAATTATTAATTAAAAAGAACTTCTTCACTCCAGTTGTTAATTATCATAATAATAAATTTACTGGCTAATTTTATTAACTAGTTAATTGGCACAATAATAAATTTACTGGCTAATTTTAATAATAATTTATTTACTTACTAATTATCATATTAATTAATTTACTAATTAATTATCCTAATAATTAATTTACTGGTTGACAAACTAATTAATTTACTAGTTAATTATTATAATTAATTTACTAGTTAATAACCTTAATAATTTACTTTTGGAGTAAAAAATTTTCTTTTTGTAATTTGCATTAAAACTGGAAATTTTTTCTTTACACAACGTTTATGTAAAAAATTCCTTTTTTTTTTTGTTTTGTAATTTTATTTCAAATAATAATTAATTTACCGGTGCATTCGAATTTTAGCAGCTGGTATTGTATCGGGAGTGTCTTGAAACATATAAAGCCTTAAACCTAGAACGTAACTTTCCATATAATTCTCCCAATTGAAATTATCCATTGAAAATGGAAAAATTTTTTTATCATCCTCCGATATTTTTTGCCACAATGATTTTGTTCGCTGAACATTTGGTTCCCATTGATGTAAAACAAAATGCGACGTTGCTGACAAAAGTCTGTGAATTCTTTTGTAAATTTTTACTGCTCTGAAAAATTAAATTAATTTATTATTTTTTTTTATTTCTAAATTCTTTTGTGTATCTATTTTATTTTTATTTATTTTTTATTTTTTTATTTTTCATAAGTATCTGTATTTTTTTTTACTTTTTACTTCTTTGTTTTCTTGCTTTTCACTCAATTTATTTTTTATTTACCTACTAAATTATTTACAAGAAAAAAAAAATATAAATTTTCTTTCTATTATTTTTTTTTATTTATCCTACTTAATATTTTCAGGAAAAAATTATTAGATTTTTTTTTTATTATTTATTTTTTATTTACTTATTGTTTTTCAATAAAAAAAAATAAATTATTCAAATGATTTTCTTGAAAATAATATTGATTACTCACTTGGTTTCCTTGCCAGTAAGAAAGAGACCAGCGTCAATTACTATCGCTGGAATCATGTGTAAAATTAAACACAATATATAATATAAATAATAATTTCTTACGACAGTTAAACTATAGCACCATAAACTTTTGACGCTTGGTACTTTTTTGCCATATTTTAAGGCCATTTGCCAAAAACGACCAATTGTGATGCTACTTGACCAGGAGGAACAATAGTTGTAAATAAATGGTTCATCATTTATATTTCTGAAAATAATTTTCGGAATTTACAAATTTTTATTATTTTCACAATTTTTTTTTAAATTCGCTTAAAATTTTTTTTAAATTCACTTCAATTTAAATTCTTTTCTCTTTACACCCAGAGAAATGATATATTTGTCTCACAGACGAAAAGAAATTTTTTTGTGATTAAATTTTATTTGTTTTAAATAAAAATTGTATTTTCGATAAAAACTATTTATTTATAACAAATAAAATTTTTCTTACAAATAAATAATTTTTCTTTGATGCAAATAAGAATTCTATTTGCAAAAAACAATCTATTTATAATAAATATATTTTATTTGATCAAATAAACATGTAATTTTCTCTAAAAAAAAAATATTTATTTATATCAAATAAAATTTTTATTTTTATCAAATAAAAATTATTATTTATACCAAATAAAATTTTTATTTATATCAAATAAAATTTTTTATTAAAAACTAATAAAAATGTTAGTAGACTGTGAGACAAATGTATTATTTAAAAGAAATGTATTTGGTTTAAATAAAACATTTCTTTGGGTGTGTATTTTTTCTTTAAAAATACTTTTTATAAAAATGATTCAAATTAAACAAAATTTTATTGAAATTGAAGAAAAATTATTTTTAATTTTTTAAATTATAAAAAAGAAATTTGAATGAAGAAAACAATAATTTTGAAATAAAATTCAAAGTAATATTAAAATGTTACTTTTCGTTTGCAACGTTCCAAGCAGATGCAATAAGTGCATTCACAGTGTAGTCTGCAGGTACAATTTCGGTTTTTGATAAATTATTGGCATGCAATACTCTCAAAATACCAGCACCTCCAGCAATCATTGCACCGGTAGGTCCAAAAACATTATCCACCCATCCAGGAACAGGTTCTTCATAAGTTGATAACACTAAAATTTGTTTAAATAAATTATTTATTGAAAATTCTTATTTATAGACTTTATGCAATTTTTAATTATCAAACATGAAAATTTATTTAAATAATATATTATAATACATCGAGAAAAAAATTCCACCTGTAACAGCAATAAATTAACTGAAAAATAATTATTTTCACTAAATATAAAAAATATTTAATTTTTTAAAATTATTTTTATAAAAAAATTAAATTTTTTAAGTAGATTAGAAATTAAATAAAATTAAATTAGTAATTTGTAGATTTTCTAGGTGAATCTTTTTTTCGTGTAATTATAATTGTATACATTATAATTTGCATTGTAATTTGTAAATAAATTCATTGCAAATAAAATTATAATTTTTGAGAGAAATTATTATATAATATTATTAATTATAAATTTAAATAATTGAAATTACCTATTGCAGGTCTAAATATTCCTGCAGGTAAATCTTTTGCGTACTGCTTCACTACTTGTTCGGCAATTGATTTTGTATATGTATAAGTATTAGGATAGTCACCAATTAAAACATCACTAATGTCATCCAATTTTTCCTCATCAATTGATTCGACTAAATTTAATATATTATCTCCTGGTGGGAAGAAAAATAAAAATAAATAAAAATTTTTGTTAAAAATAAATTTTCTTTTGCCTAATGTAAAAAAAGTTACTTACATTAAAGTCTATTTTTTATTTTTTAATATTATTTATTCCTTGTTTATTCTTTATTTATTATCATTTATTATGTATATTTACTATTAATATTTATTGCTAATATTGTTATTTATTATTATTATTTATTTTTTTTTATTTTTTTATTTTTTTATTTATTTATCAGTAAATAAAATTATTGAATGTACAGTAAATAAAATTTTTAGTTCATGTTTTACTTTGTGAATAATAAAAGTTAAAAATTTTTTTTTCGTGTAATAAATAAGAATGTAGTTTAAAATATTTTAATTTATTAAAAAATATTGAAATAATTAGAATAACAAATTTTACCTGACATTGGTGGTTCGTAAAATTTTTCCTCAATTTCTTTTCTGACACAATTGCAGTAAAATGTTGAAACATGAATGAAGGACTATCAATGAAAAATTATAGTTATTAAATTTTCTACTCTATTTTTGTAAATTATTGAAAAATTTCCTTTTTTTCTTACCTTTAAATGAAGCATACATCTCGATAGTTGAATAATTTCCTTCGATGCATTAACATTTATTGCGACAGCTTGCTTTAATTTTTCATCAAACCTTACATTTGCCGCCACATGAAAGACAATTGATATTTTATTTAATAGAAATTCTCTATCAATTTTTGATATTCCTAAACCGGGTAGTGTACAGTCACCATTAACTGCTTGTATTTTATGTTGAAATTTTGGCACTTCACTCTTTAATCGATCGAATATCTGAAAAATTCACGAGAGAATGACAACTTTTGTATAATAATAATTAAAATTTCAGGAGAAAATTTTAACAAATTTCTCTTCAATTAAGAATGAATTAAATTAGTTTAAAATTTTTTTAATTATTTTGAATTTTATAAATTTTATAAAATTTACAAATTTCTGAAACTTTTTGAATTAAAAAACTTTTAAATTAAACAAAATTTTTATAGTAAAAAAATTTTAAACTAAACAAAATTTTTATACTAAAAAAATTTTGAACTAAAAACAAAATTTTTAGATTAAAAAAATTTTGAACTAAACAAAATTTTTAGATTAAAAAAATTGTGAACTAAACAAAATTTTTATAGTAAAAAAATTGTGAACTAAACAAAATTTTTATACTAAAAAAATTTTGAACTAAACAAAATTTTTAGATTAAAAAAATTTCGAACTAAACAAAATTTTTTAGATTAAAAAAATTGTGAACTAAACAAAATTTTTATAGTAAAAAAATTTTGAACTAAACAAAATTTTTATACTAAAAAAATTAATTTTGAACTAAACAAAATTTGTAGATTAAAAAAATTTTGAACTAAACAAAACTTTTAGATTAAAAAAATTTTGAACTAAACAAAATTTTTAGATTAAAAAAATGTTGAACTAAACAAAATTTTTAGATTAAAACAATTTCAAACAAAACAAAATTTTTAATTATAGATAATTTTAAATAAAAAATATTTTAAATTAAAAAAATATTAGAATTAAATTAACTTCAAATTAATTTTAAAATAAAATTGAAGTAGAAAGTTTTCAAATTAAAAAATGATTTAAATAGAATTTTTTCAATTAAAAAGTATTTTAAATAAAAAAAATTTAATTTAGAGAGATCTCAATTGAAACAGAAAGTTGTTAAATTCAAAAAATAATTTTTAAATACAATTTTTTTAAATTTTAAAAGAAAGTAAAAAAGAAATTGACGAGGAAAATTTTAATTAAAACTAATTAGTGCAATTTTTTTCTCTAATCAAACTTTAATTTAATTTTTAGAGACAACTCTCTGAAAATAAATTTTTTAGTGAAAAATTTTTTGGTGAAAAATTGTTTCTTATATGATTTAAATACTTCTTCGTCATCGCAATAATGAATATTTGTTTAATTTCACATTATTTCATCATAAAGTTAAAGAATGCTTATCATTGTAAATGAATATTTAAAATTATTCTTATGTATCAGTATTTTTTTTATTTTCCAAATTATGGATAAGTATGAAATTTTACAGTAAAATGCTTTTCATTTAATTTACAAACCTACCTATTGTCACGTGTAATTTTTTTCTCCATTATATGAAAGGAAAAATTTGTATTTAAATAAAGAATTTAAAAAAATTTTCTCCCTTTTGAAAATAATTTTCCTGATACAGAGAACTTTGAAAATTAAATAATTTTAACATCGCCACAGTTTTTCTGCAGATATCAAATTAAGACCAAAAACGAATCAAAATGTTGCTTAGCAACACTTTTGATTCGTTTTTTGTCTCAATTTGATATCTGCAGAAAAACTACAAGAAAATTCTATTTTTTTAAAATATTAAATAGTATTAATAGTAAACAATATTGATATAGTAAACAATGTTGATAGTAAAAAATATTGATAGCACATAATTTTGATAGTAAATAATATTGATAGTAAATAATATTGGTAGTAAACAAAATTGATAGTAAATAATATTGATAGTAAATATTATTGATAGTAAATAATATTGGTAGTAAACAATATTGATAGTAAATAATATTGATAGTAAACAACGTTGATAGTAAACTTTATTGATAGTAAACAATATTATTAGTAAACAATATTTATGCTAAATAATAATAGTAAACAATATTTATACTAAATAATAATAATAAACAATTTTAATAGTAAACAATGTTGATAGTAAGTAATATTGATAGTAAACAATATTGATAGTAAATGATATTGATAGTAAACAATATTAATAGTAAATAATATTGATAGTAAATATTTTTGATAGTAAACAACGTTGATAGTAAACTTTATTGATAGTAAACAATATTATTAGTAAACAATATTTATGCTAAATAATAATAGTAAACAATTTTGATAGTAAATAATATTGATAGTAAATATTATTGTTACTGAATGAAAATAGTAAACAATTTTGTTTGTAATTATTTGTAATAAATAAAAATAACAGAAATAATACAGATCAATAAAATAAAAATCAAAAATAAATTTTTTTTTGTATTAAAATGTAATTAAAAAAATACAACAAAATTTTTCTGCAAGAGAGGAAAAGAAATTAAATAAATATTTATACCTATTTTTTGTGCAATGATATTTAAAAAAAAATTGTTGACCCTTTCTGTGTGTGTGTGTGTGTGTGTGCAATTGGAAAAGTGATGAAGCGGTTGTTGTGTTTTTTAAATTCTTTTAAAAGTCCACTTCTTGTGTCTTCTTTGTATATATATATATATATATATATATGTATACTTTGTGCCTTATACCTCTATTCTTGAGGAAGGAAAAGACAATGTAAAGCACTTACCGGGTCCTCGAAAATCTGCTCAAATCGATTCAGAGCTTCTTGGCCCTTTTTTGGTCTTACAATAACGTAGATACAAGTAAGCTCAGGGCAGCTCCTGAGAAGCTTTTCAATCAAGAGCTTTCCTAGAAAACCAGTACCACCTGCGAACATTTCTCTTCTTTTTCAAAAAAACTATATATATACTATATATTTCTCCCTATATTCATTCGCACTTATCAAATTATTTTCACATCACAATTTATTTAACAAAAAAATGTTTAAAATAAAAATATTTAACAAAAAAAGCAAAAAAAGAAAAAAAAACAGAAGAAAAAAAAAGAGAAAAGAGAAAAAAAACAAAAACAGAAAAAAAAACTAAAAAAGAAAAAATAACAAAAAAAGCAACAAAACAAAAAAAGGAATAAAATAAATTATTCTTTTTTTTTATTAAATATTAATATTTATTATAATATAATATTAATATTTAAAAGAATTTACATCCAAAATTCAATTAATATTTATGACTTTCTGAAATTAAATTTTAATTAAATAATTAAATTAATTAAATAAATATTAAATCACTAATTTACCTGTAATTAATATACTTTGTTCTGCATAAAAATTTTGTATTTCACTTCTAGAAACGATTTCGTGTTTTTCTTTCATGTTTTCACCTGCGAAAAAAAATTTATTTATTTATTTACTTAGAAATTTATTGAAATTTTTATTATTTAATATATTTTTATTATTACAATTATTATTATTTAAAGGAAGAAGCTAGCAATCTTCCTTTAAATAATAATTAATACCGAATGGTAAATTCCTTTCCTATAATTATTATTATTATTTAAATTTTTTTTTAATTTTCTATAATTTACTATTATTAATTAATAATTCAGGTACTATAATTTATTTATTTAAAACTAAAAATATTTCCATTATTTCATCAATTCCATTGATTTTTAATATTTTTTATCCATTTTAATAAATTTTTACTTATTATTTAATTTTTTAATTTCTTATTATTTATTGTTAATAATTAAATTAATAATTAATAATTAATAATTAATAATTAAATTGTCTGTATAAAAACATGTTTCAATTCTTTCTCTAATGACAAATATTTTAAAGAACTGCCTCGAATAATTTTCAACCAAAAAAAAAAAAGAAAAGATTAATTTAGTATAGATCGAAAAACAAAGTGATTAATAATAATAAAAAATAGAAAATATTCCCTAACGAGATTTATGTTAATATTTATAGGATCATTTATAATTATCTACTTCAAGATCTATTTTACGTATGATGCAAAATGAAAATTACTAAAAAAAATAGTTTTGTTTTACATGTGACGTAAATTGAAAATTTTAATAAGAAAGGAAAAAAAATCTGAAGTAGTTTTAATGTAAAGACGAAAAAAAAAATGATCAAAGATTGTTTAACTGCTTCTTAATTGTTGCATAATATTATGAGCAGAAGAAAAATATGCTGACCATGATTAAATGGCTCAAGTAAATAAAAATCATTCTTTTGGTATGGCCAAGAAATTTTATAATTTTGTAAACAGTGTATTAATTATTAATAATGTAAGAGAAAAATGTTTGTATTATTTATTCAAATTTAAATAGTCGCTTGAAAATTTTCTATTAATATTTAAAGTATTTATTTAATTACTCAATTTGTCAATCTTGAAAATTAGGATATGAAGGGTTTCTTGAATTTTGATATTTAGTCACTTAGCAGTTTGTTATTAATATTTAAATTATTTAATTATTCAACTTTTCCATCTAGAAAATGAAAATTTAAATTTAAAATGATTTTTTTTTTAATTTCTGATTTATTTATTATTTGCCACTCTTTTCTTTCTAGTTTATAATTTTCCACTATTGTTCTTAAAGTTTATTATTAATAATATTCTCTTTACAGTTTATTATTATCAAAATATTTTTTTCTAAATTTATTATTAACAATAAATATCTAGTAATTTAACAAAATAATTTGATTTCTTATTCCAATGATATGCAGCTAAAAATTTCAACAATGATCGTCATATGTGTTGTTTATTTTCACAAATTTCAACATTGATTCATGTTAAATACAAAGTTTAATAATATTTTAATTTTAAAAACCGAATCGCAAGAGTTTAAATTTTTTTTACTCTGATTTAAAATGTAAAATTAATAATACTCCGATTGTTCTGGGATCAATAAATTAACGTCAATTAAATTAACGTGGTGGTCTCAAATTAACAACTACTAATCGTTAGATTAAAATTAATATAATATATTCCCCAACTTTTTTCCAAATGTCATCGATGAACTTAATTTTATTTCAAAAATTTAGTTAAACATTTAATTTTTATATGCAATTAAAATAGTTCCAGACAAATGTAAAATTTTCTGCTTTTCATTTTTAATTATCTAATTTATTCACAAATTAATTAATTATTAATTAACACTAATTAGTACAAATTTGATTAAAATTAGAAAATTTAATTGATTGATCCAATATTGATACTATATTTATTGATTTATTGATTTATTTACTCATTTATTTATTCGTAATAAAAAACTCAAGTTCTCCATTTTTATTTTTATTCATTAAATAAATTGAAAATAATTTTAAACAAATTCACAATTGTAATATATGTAGTTGCACGTGAAAAAACATTTTTAAAAGTGTGGAGTAAATTCTTTTTTTTTCTTGACGGAAATTTATTACTGTGATGTTAAACATAAAATAAAATTTAAATAGAAAGATTCATTGGACTAAAAACACAGATTTATGATGACATGTAATGTAAATGATTGTTGAGGTGCAAGGACAAAATCTAATTCAATAAAACATGTTTTTTTCTGCCCCTAAAGAAGTGAAAAATTTTTTTTTTTTCGTAATAATTTATTTTTCATATATTGAAATACTGCAGTTTTTCAAATTTATTCATGAGGATTTGATGAAAATTTATTGTAATGTTAAACGTATTACTTGCAAAATAATAACGGAAATAATAAATGCAAAAAGATTGTGTACTTATATATATATATATATATATTATATAAATATACAATTTCCATTTATTGTAATTAAATAAAGAAATAAATTGAAATATAGTTAAATTAATTATTTATTAATATTATTTAATATTAATTAATTGCTTCGTGTGCTAATTATTTAAATTTATGGTCTTTTATTTAAAATGTAATTAATTTATTCTTATTTAATAATTAATAATTTAAGTGAGGAAAAAACGATCGTTTCCTTTTTTTAGCAGAAAGAAGTGAACTAAATTTTTCATTTCGAAGTTTTTGTATAAATAATTGATAAATTCTTTTTAATCTCATACAATGCAAATTAAGTTAAAAGACAATTTTTTTTGAAATAGTATTGGATATTTTCGGTTAGAAATATAAAAACCTTATTGTTGTTATTATTATCATTATAAAATATATAATTATTAATAATTTTATTATTTTTTTTAGTTTTATTATTTTTATTATTATACTTTTATCTTTACTTACTTTTTTCTCTATAAAATGTATTATATATTATTATAATTCATAAAATAGAACACTGGGACACGAAAAAAATAGTAAAAACAGTCGTTGAATAAATTCACAATTCATTTGAAAAATTGACAATCCATTTTTAAAAGATGTAAACAATAAAAATCATTGTTTTGTTTTTTACTACACGGTACGAAATCCAGATACAGAGTGCAACGTTGTCACTCTTGAATACTTGACTTATATAGCTAAGTTTGCTCATCCCTTCCACAATTTTTTTTTTTTTTTTGAAAATTTAAAACAATTGTTTTTTTCTAACTTCTTTTTGTTAATAAATTTTACGCCAAGACAGATGAATTTTTAATTTTACAAAAAATTGTGTGTTTTTTTTTGTTTTAAAGTGAATTTATTATAAAAATTTTAAAAGTGAACAATAGCCAACAATTATGAGTGATTACATTGTTTTTTGCTTGTTACTTGTTATAAATTTAAATTATTTCATTTAAAAATTTCCTTGATTCGTAAAAAATACTTTGAAATTTTTTCTTTGTAAAAATATTGTTTTTAGATTCAATTTAAATTCTTTTTTTATTAAAAAATATATTTTGCGAATTAAAAACATGTTTCTTTTGATATTCGCACTTAGTTCGCAGGTTATAAATTTTTTAAAGTTGTAGAAATTTTTTATTCTAGAAATTTTGTTATTATAAGTTCAATTATTAATAATTTATTTATTGAGGAAACTCATTTTTATTTTACAAAAAGTGTTCATTATTTAAAGTAGTTTTATTATTAAATTTTTTAAAAAAGTACGACAACCAACAATTATTGTTGTTTTTTTATTGGTTAGTTGTTATAAATGAAAATTATTTAAATAAAAAATTTCCTTGATCGTAAAATGCTTTGAAATTTCTTTTTTTGTGGAAATATTGTTTTTGGATTCAAGTTTTTGAATTAAGAAAGTAATTTTTGGACTCAAAAAATTTTTTTTAAAGTTTCGAATCATTTTGGCAAATTAGTTTCCGCACGTCAAGTATAGTAAAATTTTTGTTTAAATAACAAAAAGAAAAAGAATAAATAAAATTAGCGAATTAATACAAAACATGATTCCATGATTCAGGTAAATTTATATAATTCTACCCACGTCAAGTGCAGCTTGCAGTATATGAAACAGGAACATGAATGATGCAGCTAGCATAATTTTCTGAAAAGCAATTAATTAGGTTTCACTATCTTTTGTTCCCTTAAGTCTATTTTGGAAAAATTGCATTTTAAATTTATTCAATTTCTTTCCTTATGTTTATAAACTAAATAAAATGGTGCGACCGATTCATTAATAATAACAATAATAAAAATACAATTAATAATCATAATTATCATGTTTATTTATTATTTTAAATTTTTTATTTTCTATCATTTCTTACTATACCCTTTATTTTAATTTAAAAAAATTTTTTTATTTTCCTTTTATTTTTTGAAATTTTTTTATTTATTTATTTATTTAATTTTTTCTATTTCTCTCAATTTAGAAACGATTTAACTATTAATAAATATTTTCTTTGTATATTTTTAGAAGAACTCACACTAAATCATATGTGTTTCTTTTTATTTTAAAAAAAAAATTAACATTGTGGAAATATTAGGTAACAATTAAAAAAAAAAAAAAAGAAATTAGTCAATCATTATTGTCCTCAAGATATAGTGACAGTGTTTGACACTTGACACATTTCATCATTAATAGACATACTTTTAAACAAAGTTTATTTCTTTATGCAAATTTATTTGAAGATATTACATAAAATGATATGAAATATAATAACTATGGAATAATTAAGAGATAAATTTTTGCAAAAAAAAAAAAAAATGAAAAAAAGTAGAAAGATTTAATTCCTTTCAAGTGAGTCATGTCAGGCTTTATCTACCTGATATCATTTAAATTCAAGCCACCTTTTGCAAAAGGGTCTTATTATACGACACGTGGAATTCCCATTGCCTGGAATTATAAACTATTTTAGAAAGGGCCTTGATAATTCATTGACCCGAGTAATATGCATATTTAATAAAAATATTATGTATTCAAAATTTCAAATTTCATACGTATTTCATTTTAATATTTCGTGGGCTTTAAAATGAATTTTATCGGTTTATTAGTTTTTTTTCAGATTTTACAATGTTTTCTTAATTTTTTTCAATAGAATATTTTATTTACGATTTGCAATTTTTGTTTTTGAATTTTTGATCGAATTTCCGAAATAATTTCAATTTTTGATTTATTATTAATTCGAGTAAATATTTTTGGGGGGACTATTTTTTTATTAATAACTTTAATAATTAAATTGTATTTTGATTTTAAAAAGAATTTTTTTGAATTTTTGTTATTTTAATATTAAAATGTAAAATAAAATAGTTTTAATAATAATTTTTTAATTAATACAATTTTAATAACTATATTTTAATTAGTATATTTTTGTTAATATATTTTAATTAGTATATTTTTGTTAATATATTTTAATTAGTATATTTTTGTTAATATATTTTAATTAGGATATTGTTGTTAATACATTTTAATTAATATATTTTTGTTAATATATTTTAATTAATATATTTTTGTTTAAAATTTATTTATAAAAAATATTTTTCTTTTTCCAAATGAGAAGAATCTATAAATAAAAATTATTTCACAGTTGTCACATTGCTGCAAAAAAAAAAGTTGACAATAATGATTTATGCGACTTTACATCTACCACAAAAAGGCAATTATTGCATAATTAACAGTTAACTTTAATTTATATTTGAGATTTTTTTATTAAAAATATAACAACTTTTAATTCTTCTTTTAATATATTTTTCTAAAGATTTTAATTATTTTTTTTTATGTTTAATTTAATTCGGTGATTTTAATTTTTTATTCGCTTGTAAAAATATTTTCTACGGTTTTTAATACAAAAAATTTAATTTAATAATATAATGAAATTTATTTATATAGTAAACTAAAGAAAGTTTTGTCATTTTTTTAAATTTATCATAAAATATTTGTAAAAATAATATAAAAATGAAAGAAAAAAATAATCCATTTCAGAAAACTTTTGAATAGCCCGCGTAAAAATTGAAACTAAACTACTGCCACCTAGTTAAATATTTTGGAACTTCGACATTAATTTTGTTCTACTATTCTCGGTAATTCCCCTATTTTCATTTCAATCAGCCTTATATTATTGTTTTATTCTTAATTTTTTAATAAATATTTTTTATCCTCGCAAATAATATTGATTTCTCTTTATCTAACAATTAAAAAAAAATATTTAAATTGTTAATAGGAAAGTTAAAATATTTGAATTCCGGAAGTTGAAAGCGCCCGTCGCGCCATCTACAATTTTACGCCGCCATTTTCTTTTTTCCGTGTCCCGCCATGCCCGCCATTTTCACCCTCATTGCCGTCGTGCTTGGTAGCAGAATTTTTTTTGTCTTTAATTAAAATCTCATCGTACAGTTTTAATGTCCTTTCGTAGAAATTTGAGAAAATGTTTTGTATTTTATTGTCAGTGCAAGATTTTGATTGAAATGACAACTTTTAATTGCAATGTAGGCGAATAGTATTTCTTTGCCGATTTGCCTGCTAACAATCGACAAATGTACAATAAATGTACTTATTTCTTTTCCAGATTACGAGAGCAAATCAAAAATGTCTATTTGGATCTTTGGGAATCGTGAACATCAAATTGGTAAGACAAATGATTATTATTTGAGATTCAATTTAAGTTCTGAAAAGTTAGGTTAGAAAATTTGTCTTGACAACTTTTTACATTAATCGTTCGACTTGATCAATTTTATCCCAAATTTATAATATAAATTGACTCATTATTTTTGGAAAAATTGTGTGTGAAAAGTTAAGTTAGAAACTTTCAATTTTTTCAATCGTAAAGAATGTAAAAAATTGGAAATTACGATGCTGCCATCTAGCGGAATATTTTAGAAGTTTGTCGTCAATTTTTATGTCGTTCTCTGTAATTCCCCGAGATATTTCCTCTATTTTTCTTTCTATTTATTGTTTCGTTATTTTCTTCTCACTTTTCTCGGTTTTTATCAATGTTTCTTAATTATTACAATTACTATTTACTCCACTGCATTTAATAATTAAAAAAAACATTTTAAATTCTAAGTAAAATTAAATTATTCAAATTCCGGAAGTTGAAAGTGCCACTAGCGCCATCTGCAACTTTTCGTTGATACTATTGGTACTCCTGATTTCTCGGCATCCACCGGCATTTTTCATCACAATGGCGTTCGTTTCGTGCACGTTTCGACAGAGTTTTGCTGTTAGTTTACTTAAAATAAAGTTGTGCAGTTTAGTTGTCCTTTTATCTAAAGTTGTGAAAAAGTTTGTCTCTCATTGGCAGTACGAGTTTTTAATAACATCAACTCCCTTCGATTGATAAATAGTGCATAATTATACTTTGACAAATCGCACGTCAACAATCACAGTGGAATAAACAGTTTTTCTTTATTCGCATTTAAAGAGCAAATCATCAATGATTGTCGGAGAAATTTCCTATTGGTACTCGATAGCAACATTATTTTCTAAATTGTAAGTAAAAATATTAGATTCCGAACCGAAAAATAGTCTAAAATTGATGTTGTAAAAAGTGAGGTTAGGAAATCGTGTCAAGAGTGGAAGCTTTTTCTAAATTTTTCAGTTTGATTAAAAATGTCAATTAAAATGTGTTCTGTATTAAAAATCCAAGAAAAATTAATTTTATTATTATTGGAAGATTTTCGAAAATTAATCTCAATTTATAGTGCACTATTATGTTTGTCAATTTTCACTTTCAAAGTAAGACAAAAAATTTTTTTTTCAGATTACTGGAGCAAATATTATCATTGTCTATAACAAAACAACAAGATGTCAACAAAAGTGTCTACTTCGAATTTAAGGAAATCATACGTTTCAACAATTGGTGAGTCCATAAAAAATATTTTCGTGAGTAAACATTATTTTTTTTCTTCAAAATTTTATCTCTTTGAAATTTATTTGGAAAATTGATGAGAAAAAAAGTTCTCTGTTTAATTGAAATATAATTGAATGAAAAATTGTTTTCTGTGTTGAAAGCAATTTGGTGAAATATTTTCGTTTTATAAAATTGTAAATGAAAATTCTCGAATACTAATGGAAATAATTGTCATTTGCAAAATTGGGAATTTATTAAAAGTTGGATTATTGAAAACTCTATTAATACAAAAATGTTGTCTTTATTTTAAATAAGGCAAATATACAAAAGAAATTCTTAATTTATATTTTAAATACACTAGAAGTAACGCTAAAGTTTTTATAATAAACTATAAATACCCATTGACTGATTAATCTATAAAACACTTTGATAATGTACAAGAAATTCGAAAATACTTTTATAACGTCTCGCGTGATAATTCAAAAAATATATTTTTTTCTTATTTTTAGAGAATAAAAAGAAAAGTGAAATTTTCTTTTTGAAAATGTATTAAAAATAGTGCATAGAACATTTTCAAAAAAGTATTTTTTTAAACAGAATTTGCTTTTTGAAAATGTAACAAAAATTGTAAATTGCACATTTTCGAGAAGGAATTCGAAAATATTTCTTTCACATTTGATTGTTTTTTCAATTATTAAATATTTATTCGTTCATAAATTTTTTATTTTATTAATTACTGTTTTTAATTTAATAATAAAATTAATTGAAAGTAATTAATTTTTTAATTCTTTTTTAAAGAAAAAATTTTTTTCTTCCATTGATTTAAAAAAATTTTTTTATACGAACATTATTAAATGTGTTTTTAAGATAGTTCCCTTTATTTCTCTTAATTTTCTGGTTTATCACATGATCACTTTTTAATATAAAAGATTTTGTGTCTTCCTAAGGAAGATTTCGTGTTAAATATTTTCATCTTTTTCTTAATTTTCATTTTCTTGGCATTCTCGCGAATCGAAAAAGATGAAAGACTTTTTTCTCGTCAATAATAAAACTATCGTACTCTTCTCAAGAGATTTTCATTTTCGGAGATTCCTTGAGTTTTTTCTTTTTTTCTTTTTTTAGAAATTATATTTTACCAGATTTTTAGGCAACAAACGAAATAATTGTTGATAAAATCATCCAAATCAGTCTGATGGCAATATATCCAAGTATAACTTTTACTGCTTGATGAAGCCAGTACATTCTGAAAAATATTTTTTAATTGTTTGCTAAATGTTTAAAATATTGAATATTAAAATTAATATTTAAAATAATAATATTCTATTTTTTTATTAATTTTAATTTATTTCGTAAATTCCAGTGAAGTAATTATAATTGATTAATTCTTGCATAGTAATTTTATTGAAATAATTGATTGTTATTGAAAATAATTATTTATTTCTCCGTCAAATAATTTTGTAAGTGGAAAAAAAATTGATTTTATTGAAATAATCGATTTTTAATCAAAAAATATTTAATTTTCTATCAAATAATTTTTATTTTTGTCAAATAATTTTTATTTGTATCAAACAATTTTTATAGACTTTATTAAAAAATTATTTGCTGAAAGTAAATATTTATTTGATCAGCTAATTAAATTATTTAAATCGATACACATTAAATTATTTGAATACTGTTTTTATTGGAAAAAAAAAATAATTTAAATTTCCGAAAAATTTTATTTTTTACTCAATTTATTATATATTTTTATATTTATTATATATATTTTTATATATTTTATTTTTACTGTTTGTTGGTTTTATTTCAATTGTTTTTTAAAATTTTATTAAGAAAGAAAAATAGCGATAAATTAAAATTTTTCTTAAGATTCCTAAAAAATTATTCTGTCTCTCAAATAAAAAAAAGAAAACTGAACGTTTTGTCCCTGTGGTCAAATCGAAACCAACCAATAGCAGTAACCTTTTTCGTCACCAATTTCAGTCTCTCTTGTAACTTTTTATTTTTTTTCTTTTCTCGAAAGCTGAAAGGACCTTTAAGAAAGACACTTTTATTCCATTGATAAGGAAGAGATAGTGACATTACACAATCGGGACAAAACGTTCATCCACTTTTTTTTTCACTATTCAACTTTTATTTGGGGGGAAAAGTTTCTTGAAACATTCTCTATAAGGAAAAAGGCTATTCACACATATCAAACACGTACCAAAATAAAAAGAAAAATAAGCCAATAAAAAATGGTTTTAAGGAAATTAGACTTTTATTTAAAAATTAGTCGTGAAATTCACAATAGGAATTTTTTTTTCAATTTTAAACTCTGAATAATTTTTCAGCTCTCAATAGTTTTTACTAATTATCGTTTGTATAGAATATTAATTATTATTAGAATTCAATAAAAATTGTTTGAAAAAAAGATAAATAAATAATTTAATTATTATTTATTAAATAATTATAAAATAATTTTTTTAACTCTGAATAATTTGAGGTCTAGACAAAATTCAATTATTATCGTTTCTATGGAATATTAATTTTTATTTCAATCTATAAAAAGTTTTCGTTCTAAACAGAAAAAATATTCATTTTTTTTCTATATTAAACTCTGAATAATTTGACGTTTCAATAATTTTCAGTAATTATTATTTGTATCGAATATTAATTATTATTTCAATTAAAAAAAAGAGTAGTTGTTCTAATAAGAAGAATTATTGTTTCGAATAAAATTTGACTAGAAAAGAAATTATTTGATGTAAATAACTATTTTTTAAATAAGTTTTTTGAAACTTAATTATTAACAATTATTAAAAATTGTAATATAAAAAAATATTCTATGGTAGAAAATAAAAGTGATAATAAAATTAAGATTTATAATAATAATAAAATTTCGATGACGATATTAATAATAAATAATAATTTAGTTACCTTTGCCATCTTACTCGCGCCTGTGGTAAAGTTTCCATAGGGTCTTTAATCAAGTAAATTCGAATTCCTTTGATATAAGTTTGGAAGAACGTATCCCAAACTATTTCTCTCATATCGCAGAGGAAATTCTCACGATCTTTTACTGACATTCTGTTTATCAAATCGTGTACCCTGTCATTTGAGAATTTCCATTCTTTCGTCGTAAAGTAATTGAGCACGTCCATAAACCTATGAATCTTTTTGTAGATTTTCATTAATCTAGAAAAAAAATGAAAAATACATTTTTTTACATTCCTCTCTTTTCCATATTTAAAATTAAATTTTTTATTTTATTCTTGAATTAATTTTTAATTGATTTAGATTGAATTTATTTTCAACTAATAAATTTAATTAAATTAATTTCAAATGAACTTTAATTAAGTTAATTTTTAATTAATTAAATTTCATTGGATTAATTTTGAACTAATTGTAACTAAATTAATTTTGAACTAATTTTAACTAAATTAATTTTGAACTAATTTTAATTAAATTAATTTTGAATTAATTTCGAATGAAATTCAATTGAATTTTTTTTTAATTAATTAAATTTCATTAAATTCATTTTTAATAAATTTTAATTGAATCAATTTCGAATTATTTGTAATTAAATTAAGTTCGAATTAACTTTAATTGAGTTAATTTTTAATTAATTAAATTTCATTGAATTAATTTTGAACTAATTTTAATTGTATCAATTTCGAATTATTTTTAATTAAATTAAGTTTGAATTAACTTTAATTGTGTTATTTTTGAATGAATTAAATTTATAATTAAATTAATTTTGAATTAATTTTGAATTAATTGCAATTGACATTATTTTGAATTAATTTAATTAAATTAATTTCGAATTAATTGTAATTGAAATTATTTGGAATTTACTTTAATTGAATAAATTTCGAATTAACTTTAATTGAGCTAATTTTTAATGAATTAAGTTTAATAGAATTAATTTTTGAATTTAATTTGAATTGAAATAATTTTGAATGAACTTTAATTGAATTAATTTTGAATTAACGTCAATTGACTTAAATTGTAATTAATTTTTATTAAAATTGAAATCGTCTCACCTTAATTGTTTACCCATGCAAATGCAAATTGCGTCAACGAGAAGGGCCGGTAGCAAGTGGAAAAAATAAACGTAAAACAGATGAATCATTCTGTATTTATTATTTCTAAAACTGTAGTACCAAACAGATCTAACTGACGGAACTTCAATTCCATATTTTTCTGACATTTCCTTCAGTTCATCCCACGTGACTGGATTGTCTTTTGAAACAAAATTGTAAATTGGCACTTCTTTCGATTCCTTGTCGAGTCTGTAGGGGAAAAAAAAGAATTATTTCCTTTTTCGATGGAGAACTTATTTATAGGGAGAAATTTATTGTTTTATTAGAAGGAATTAATTTGGTATAGTAAAAAAAATTCATTTAGTGATAAAATAGAAATTTTTTTCAATTTCTAATTTGAAAAATTCAGAGTGGAAGTTTGGAAATAAAGGAAATTAAAAAAGAGATTTTTTTTTATACCGTTTCTTGTTGGAAACATCCCAGGCAGAGGCAATTAGGGCATTTACAGTCAAATCACCAGGTACAATGTTGGCTTTTAATGATCCATCGCAGTGTATAGATCGAAGTAATCCTGCTCCTGCTCCAGCAGCTACTCCAGTAGGTCCATACATGTTGTCTATCCAACCCGGAATTGGTTCTTTATATGTTGATACAACTAGAGGAGGAATTTTTTTTTATTATTGACAGACCATTTCTAGTTTATATTTCAAAAAAATCTCTATTTTATATTTCGAAGAAAAAAAAATCTATTTTATATTTCAAAGAAAAAAAATCTATTTTATATTTCGAAAAAGAAAAAAAAATAAGAAACAATAAAATAATTCTATCTTCTTGAAATTATTGAATCATTCCGAAAAATTCTCTGAATTGCAAGAATTATTTATTCATCTTAGAGTTTAAAAACAATTTTCTAAAATTTAAACAAATATAATTGGTTCAAAATTGCTATATTCTTCGAATCTAAATTCGAAATGAAATTGAAAACATTAATTAATTAATCAATTACCAATATAATTAATAAATTTCCAACATGAATTAATAAAATCCCACAGTGAAAAAAAATTATTTGATTTAAATAACCGATTACTTGTTTATTAGCAAATAAACATTTATAAATAAATATTTATTTATTTAATGGATAATAATAAAATCCTTTATTTGAATCAAATAAATTTTTTTATTATAAAAATAATATTTATTTATAAATACTTTTTTTATTATAAAAATAATATTTATTTATAAATATTTAATAAATATTTGATTCAATTAAATATTAATTTGCTAATAGAAAAAGTAATCGGTCATTTGAATCAAATAAATATTTTTTTCAGTGCAACATAATTGAAATTAATTAATTTTGTAAGCATAAATTAATAAATGACAAAATAATATCTCAAATTATTTTGGAAAGAAATTTTTCTATTTTCTTCAGGGTGGTCACATGTCAACAAAGTCAGGGAAATGTCAGAAAAACAAAATTTTTGTCAGTAAAGTCAGGGAAATGTCAAGAAAAAAATTTTTGTCAGGGAAGTTAAGACTTTTTCTGACTTATTTTCCAAAATTTGCGACTTTATCGACTTTTCTTCGAAACATTGTAATAAAATACCAATTTTTAGTAAAAAAGTGCAACTTATTTTGATTTTTATAATGCAAAAAATAACTATAAACAAATCTTTCAAAAATTGTTTTTAAATCATTTTTTAACATATTTAAATTTTTCAAATGTATCTATAATAAAAATCGTTTTGAATAGTTAAAATTATGTAAAATTTAATTGAAAATAATTCATTTTTCAATTCATTGTTAAGTTAATTATGTAAAATTTAATTGAAAATAATTAATTTATTATAAGTATTTTGTTACAATTTTTGAAAATCAACTTTTAAAGAATTTTAATTGCAAATTTTGAAAATACATAATTCAATTATCAAAAATTTTAATGAAAAATCTTTAAAAGTAAATTTAAAAATGAAAATTAATGAAATTTATTTTTAAAAAATTACATTAAAATATTTTTTGAAAACTAATTATTAGAATTGTTTTATAATAATTTTTGAAAATTCAATTATTATCTTCGAACTATGTAAATAAAAATTTATGAAAATTTACTTTTTGGACTTATTAAAATTTTTGAGGCGTTTTTAATTAAAGTTCTTCAAAAATTTGATCATTTTTATTTATATTTTTCAAAAATTCAATTATTTTAAAAAGATTTTACAAAATTTTAATTGTTTGAAAATTTTTCAAAATTAAAAAACTATTATTTTTAAAAAATTATTTAAATATACTTTTAAAAAATTAATTTTAAGAATTTCTTTATAATTTTTTGAAAATATTTTACCTTAATAACTTAAAAATAACTATGGAATGTTATAATTATTATAAAAAATTTAGTTTTGTATTTAAATAATTGAATTCTAGAAGAACTTTTGGAGAATGATTTAAATTAATTGATTCAGACATGAGGTTTAGTTGAAGATTGTAGAAAATAATTGAATTCAGAAAGGATGATAATTGTAATTATTAGGATTTATTAAAATTCATAAATTTTACTCATTTTCCGTAAACATTCATATTTTCCTGTAAAAAGAATTTTGTCAGGGAAAGTAATTTTAATGTCAGTAAATTGTCAGGGAAATTGATAAACTGAAACTTTTGACCACTCTGTTCTTATTCCTCAAAAAATATTTTCATGGAGTTAATTAAAAATGGAAATAAATTACTAGATTCAGAAAATTTTTTTTAGTTATTTATTTATTTAATCTTTGGTTTTATTTATTTGTTTTTCATTTTTATTTATTTATTTATTATTTACATATTATAAAAAAATTTTTTTTTTAAAGCTCTTAGTGAAAGGCATTTTTTTCAACGTTACGATTTGATTTTCTGTTTATTAACGATATTTATTCATTTATTATTTATTTTATTTTTAAGAAAGTAACAATTTCTTATTTAAAAATAATTATACATAAAATTTTAAGTGCAAAAATTTGTATATGATTGTTTTTAAAAAAATGCATAAAATTTTGTTTTCAAAATTTTATAATAGTCTGCTCGTCATAAATTCTTTTTTATAGTTTTCAATCATTATGATGAGAAAACATTGTCAACGTAAAATTCAAATTTCAATACCTTGAAATATAAAACTAGTTTTATATCTTGACCTTAACTATAGTTTAAAAGAGAAAAAAATACCGAGAGATTTCTGAGGATTAAAAGAAGGAAAAAAAGAAGAATATCGAACTCTAGGAGCAAAAATTCCTAATTTGAATTTTTTTTTTCACTATAAAATATTTACAAAAATCATCTTAAGTAAAAGGAATTCCCCCGAGAATTACTTTCACTTTTTTTTGCATCTTTTTTTTTAGAGTGTTTTTATTTCTTTGACACTTTTTTTCCTTGCTTATGATTTATTATAGGACTTTGGTTTTATCGTAATAAAAAAGTAAAAAAAAGAGTAAGAAAAAGTAAAAGAAGAATAAAAAAGTAAGAAATTAATAAAAAAAAAGTTGAAAAAAAGAATAAAGAGGAAAAGATCTAAAAATCGTCTTACCAATCGCAGGTCGAAATATTCCAACAGGCAAATTGCCAGCTTCTTTGTTAACGATTTCTTCAGCGACAGCTTTTGTGTAGGCGTAAGTGTTAGGCCATCCTCCTAGTAACCTATAATTTTTTATTTTTCTTTGATTGAAAAGTTTCTCGATCGATTTTCTCGCAATTTTGTATTAGATTTTTTTTTGTCATTCAATTCATTGTTATGTTAATTGATTGTCAATAATTGACGATGTGTAGAGTATAGTGATGGTTAGAATATATTCACTGTTTCATGTTTATTTAATTTTTACTATATGTCTAAACTGATGTGGCAAAAGTTCAAGGAAAAATGTTTTTCTATGAAACAACACTGTGAGTAACACTGAGGATAATATTATTTTTTTTCCCTTGTCTCAAAGAGGAGGTGTAAATTGTTTGACAATCTGACGTCACTGAAGGTGATGGCCCTCAAAATGCAACGCATTTGTGTTGAATTATTTTTTTTAATTTTTATGTTTTTTTTTCAATGTTTACGTAACGTTGGAAATCAATGATTCTTTTAAAACTTGGAGAAGTTCGAATTTTTTTTGCTTTTAGGATAATTTATTTTTAACTAATTCAAATTAAAGAGTAACTTAACTTTATTTTTAAAAAAATATTTTCTTTTGTTATTTGCGAAGTAAAATTTAAATTGTCTGTAATTTTTGCAAATTTTTGTGATAATTTTTATTTTTACAATTTTCGAAGTAAATTTTATTAATTTTTACTAATACTAATTTTAATTAATCAATTAATATTATTGGCAATATTGATTAATTAATTTATACTAATTTTACTAAAATTTATTATACGGAAATAGTAAAAATTAACAAACAAAAAAATTGCGTGGAAAGTTTAGAAATTTTTTATTTTACTGCGAATCTATAGTAAATTTTACTTCATTAATTTTTTTGTAGTAATTTGATAATAATTAAAGTCTTCTTTGATAAAAAAAAAAAAATTTTTGAACTTACTGTGGCGTGAAGGAATCGATCAATTTTTCATCAGCACATTCTGTGAGTGTAATTAGTTTACTTGCTTCCATTGGTGGATCGTAAAATTTTTCTTCGATTGTATTGTGAGGACAATTTGCATAGGCAGTTGATACGTGAATGACTGACTGTAATAAAAATTTTTTAAATTTATAATAATTTGATCAAAGTTAGTATGAAAAAATTGGGGTTATTTAACTTTTAATTTTTATTAATTAAACAAAAAAATATATTTCTCATGAATTAAAATTGTTAATCTTAATAGTAGAATATATTAAGGTTGATGAACTTTGATTTCTATTAATTGAACAAAAAATTTATTTATTTATTCTTATAGTTAATTTAAATCGTTAATCTTAATAGTAGCAAATTTTTATCAATTAGTTGAAAGTAATAAATTTTCTAGTTTCGAATATTTATCCTCCTCTCTCTAATCAGATCCGTTATTTTGAATTAAAAAATAGTTTTTTTGCAATTCAAATGCCTTTCTGTTAATTAAATTTTTTTCTATTTATAGAAATAGTTTTTTCTAATTAAGAAATTCTTTTTTCTAACTTAGAGATATTTTTTCTAATTAAGAAATATTTCTTCTTGCTTCTAATTAGGAAATAGTTTTTTCGAATCAAGAAATTAGTTTTTGGATTAAAAAAAAAGTAAAAATAAATTTAAAAAGAAAATTTTTTTTTTATTAAAAAGAACAAATTATTTATGTAATTTGTTAAAATTTGGGAATAATCGCATGAAATTGTAAAAGTACCTTTAAGTTGTTCATTTCCTTAGAAAGATTTATAATGTCTTTCGGTGCCTGAACGTTTATTGCAACTGCTAGTTTAATTTTTTCATCAAATCTAACTGTGGCTGCTACGTGAAAGACAATTGACACTTGACGAGTCAATGTTGTTCTATCTGATGAAGATAATCCCAGTCCTGGCAAACTGCAGTCTCCTGAGACTGCAACAATTTGATGCCGAAATTTTGGATGTTCCTCCTTTAATCTGGAAAAAAGCTATTAAAATACTTAAATTATTATTTCAATCGAAATAATTTATACAATAATTATAAAATTTAGACTAAAATAAATTAAAACTAAATTCGTTTCAAAGTTAAAAATTGAATTCATTTGCATATTAATTATTATTAATTATAGTATTGGTACTGATTTTAATTTTAACTAATAATTAAATTAAATAGTTAGAATAATTAAATAAATTACAGGCATCACAGTTGGTCCCCTTTTCCCCTTTTGTCCTCTTATTTCAATTTTATCACCTTTTTCCCCTTTTTTGCTGATTTGTTCCCTTTTTCACCTTTTTCTAATAAAAAATAAACAAGTTTTGCTTTTTTTTGAAATCTTTTCCAAAGTGTAATTATAAAATTTAGACTCAATGTTATAAAATTCAGTGCGTTTTATTTCTGATTTAGATTATTAACACCACAACATAATATAAAAATGTTTTTTTATGTTAATGATTTAAATAATATAGATATCGTAAAGAATTTGATAAATTATAAGGTGGTTCATTCATCAGAATGCAGACCTTTAGAAAAATAATTAATCAACAATCAAATAATTAAAATATTATTATTACTAGTTTTTTCTAGAAAAACAAAAATTCTAATACAAAACCTTCAATTTTTTCCATTTCTGACAATAATTTCTTTTTAAATAACTTAATTCTTGAAGAACTATCATAAAATTATAACTTAGCTTACAATTTTCATAAATAGATGAAATTCAAAACATTTTAATTTCAAATTTTGTAAAATTTCAATTTTGAATGAATTTTATTAGAAATTCTAAAAAATTTAAATGTTTGCAAAAATGTTCAAAATTTAAATTATTCTGGAATTAGTTAAATTTTTATATATATATATTTTTAATTAATTATTAAAAATAAAGAAATAAACGAGGAATTCTAGTTAAAAACACTAAAAAAAATTTGAATTTTGGAGAAGTTTCAAATAATTGCAAAAATTCAATTATTTTCAAAAATAATAAAATTCTTCGCAGAAATTTAATTATGTTCAAAAATTTAAAGAAATTTTGGTCAAAATTTCAATTCTTTTTATAAATAATAAAATTCTTCTTCGAAATTCAATTATTTTTAAAAAATTTTATAAAATTATTGGCAAAATTTCAATTATTTGCAAAAATTTTCTTTAATTCAATGATATTCAATATTACAGGGTTCATACAGAATCTGAAAATTATGCATGGAAATTATGGAAATGGTATGGAATTTTTAAAAGGCTTCTGGAAATCAGGAAAATCATGGAAAAGGCCTGGAATTTTTAAAAGTTTCTAAATTTTTTCTGTTTTTCATTTTTTCTCTTGAATATAAATTTAAATAATAATAAAGCTAAATGGCATAAAAGATAAGAAAAAATGTTGAATTTTAAGAAATTCGATTTTTCGGATTTTTGATCATTTTTAATAACTTTTGATTTTTTAGCAAAGAGTCGAGACTATTAAATAAGTAAAGTATTTTCCAAGAGCACAAAAATATTGAAGCTAAATGCCATAAAAGAGAGGAAAAAATGTTAAATTTTAAGAAATTCGGTTTTTTGAATTTTTGATAATTTTAGATTTTTTACCAAAGAGTCGAGACAATTTAATAAGTAAAGTATTTTCTAAAAGCACAAAAATAATGAAGCTAAATCCCATAAAAGAGAAGAAAAAATGTTGAATTTTAAGAAATTTGGATTTTTGAATTTTTTCGAATTTTTGATAATTTTAGATTTTTTACCAAAGAGTCGAGACTATTAAATAAGTAAAGTATTTTCCAAAAGCACAAAAATAATGAAGCTAAATCCCATAAAAGAGAGGAAAAAATGTTGAATTTTAAGAACTTCGGATTTTTGAATTTTTTCGAATTTTTGATAATTTTAGATTTTTTACCAAAGAGTCGAGACTATTAAATAAGTAAAGTATTTTCTAAAAGCACAAAAATAATGAAGCTAAATCCCATAAAAGAGAGGAAAAAATGTTGAATTTTAAGAACTTCGGATTTTTGAATTTTTTCGAATTTTTGATAATTTTAGATTTTTTACCAAAGAGTCGAGACTATTAAATAAGTAAAGTATTTTCTAAAAGCACAAAAATAATGAAGCTAAATCCCATAAAAGAGAGGAAAAAATGTTGAATTTTAAGAACTTCGGATTTTTGAATTTTTGATAAATTTTGATAATTTTAGAATTTTTATTAAAGGGTGGAGACTATTAAATAAGTAAAGTGTTTTTAAAGAGCCCAAAAATAGTGAAATTAGATTTAAAATTCCACTGGAATTTCGTAAAAATTTGACCTGGAAATCATGGAAAAGGTATGGAATTTTAAATTCGGATTTCTGTAGGAATCCTGAATATCTACTATTTTAATAAAATTTTCCAAAATAATTCAATTATTAAAAAAAAATTTTATTAAAATTCTACGCAAACTTTTAATTATTTTCATAAATAAGAAAATAATTTCACAGTAATTCTATTATTTACACATTTTTTTTATAAATTTCTTCGCAATAATTACATTATTTTCATAAATAATCAAACTCATCGCAGAGTTTCAATTATTTTTAGTACATTTTTAATCAAATTTCTGGTAAAATGTAATTATTTTTAAAAATTTTATTTAAATTCGTCTAAAGAATTTAATTATTTAACAATTTATTGATAAAATTCTTTATAAGAATTAAATATTAAGAAACATTCAATATATAATATAAATTATTTTTTTTGTATTTAAATAATTGAATTCTAGTAGAATTTTTTAATATAAATTGATTTAAGTGAATTACAGTTAAAATTTTACATAATAATTGAATATTAAAAGCATTATAGCGTAAATTTTTCTAGAAATTTTTCTTATTTTTAATTAACAATTCTGTAGAATTAATTTTTTCAAAAAGTTTAATTGAAATTATTCCAAGTTTTTATTTTCAAATATATATTTAATTGAAGAATTTCCGAATAGTCGATGAAATTTTGTAAAATTGAATTGTAAAAAAATACATTTGAAAATTCTCAGAATTTTTTTAAAATTATTGTAAAATAATTGATTTAAAGAAGAATTTTAGTTAAAAATTGTAGAAAATAATAATTGAAATGAAATTATGAAAAAAATTTTGAAGAAGTTACAGTGAAAATATTTTTTATAGTAGTCACTTTCTTCATGTTTTATAATAATATTCTCATAAATTATAGAATTTCAAAAACATTTAAATTTGAATGTTTTGAAAATCCTAATTCCTATGGACAAATAATAATGATTAAATATTTTTTTAAAAAAGAAGTCCCATTTTTGAAGAAAAAAATTTCCCTTTTCATCTTTTTTGAGGAAAAAAAAAGGTACTGTGACGCCTGTAAATAAATCAAATTTATAGTTAATTAAGGGCAATTAATAATTAATTAGATTGAATGATACAATTTCGATAATATTGATTATCAATATTAACTAGGTAAATAAATAAATTAAATTAAATAAATTTTATTTATCAAAATTAAATATATGCGAGAAAGAAAAATTATTTTAAGAAATAAAAACTCTTTCCTGACACTTACTCTTTGACATTATATTGTCTTTTTAACAACAAGCAAATGATGAAAAATACATAATGAGAAAGTAATTGGCTTGAGACTTATTTGAATTACTAATTGACATTTGTGCATTAATATGGTAAATGTTCATGCAATCGAACATGTAAATCAGTAGCCACGGCGATTTGAATAATTTACTTCCTTAGCAAGAGTTGATTTCATAATTAAATCCTTATTAAGGTGACCATATTATATTGATATCATGACATTTTCATATATTAAAAGATCATAACTGCTTCTTATCAAAATGTTGATAATAAATAAGAAATATTTATTATAATATTTATTATAATATTTTTTGTAATATTTATTATAATATTTATTGTAATATTTATTATAATATTTATCATAATATTTGTTATATAAAATTGATTTCCCATATATTACTTACTGCATCGTCGAATAATTCTTCTATTCTTTGATGAACGTCTTTCTCTTTTTTCGGTCGTACCAAAAGATAAATAAATGCAATTCCCGGACAGCTTCTCAATAATTTTTCAATTAAAAGTTTTCCCATAAATCCAGTGCCACCAGTGATGAATATACTTTGTCCCATGTAAAATTCTTGAATAGGTGTGAGATTTAAATTTTCGTTAGATATATTTTGTAATTTTTTTGTGCATTCTGTTGGTGTTCCTGCCCTCGATCCACTTTCGGCAACTGCCACATCCTGGCCGCCTGCTTCTTGTAGAATTTCTACCATTTTTTTAGATTCTAGAACAAAGATGTATATTTTTTTATCTTAAAAAAAATTATTTTTTAATTTTTTTTTAAAACTAAAAAAAAAATGTTTTCTTATTTTTTTTTTCTTAAAAACAGAAAAATGTTCAGGTTTTTTAGTGGGAATTAAAATTTCATTTTGAGCAACTAATTCTTTGGCAAATATTTGTAATAAAAAATAATTAGTAGGGAAAAAGTAAATTAAATAATAACATAATATTTGTTGAATTAGTCTTTTTTTTAATAGAAAATTTAAATTAAGAATAAAATTTATTAATGGTAAAAAATAATGAAAAATAAAATAAAAAATAATATTTAATATTATTTTTTTAAAGTGAGAAAAAATTTGTCATTTTTTAAGGCACAAAATTTATGTGTAGTAAAAATTCTTGTCTCATGGAAGACTGATTATCATTCAGCAGGGATATTCAATGTTGAAATTATTTTTTTCACATAGAATTTTGTACCTGCTTCATTTCTAATGTTAAAAAATTGTAGAAAATTTAATATAGAAGTAAAAATAAAAAATTATATCCTATCAAATATTAAAAATTATTACTACTGTTTTTGGATTCAGTTCAGTATTTATAATTTCTTTTTGAAATTTTATGATTTACAAATTTTGAACGTTCAAATGAACAATATTTTTTTTTTATTGGAAATATTTTCAGAAATAACTACTGATTGCGGTAAAAATTGAAAAATTGCAAAATTAAATTTTGCATTCAGAAACTTTATTATTAACTTTTTTGATACCGACTTAAAATTATTTTAATAAAAAATCATTTAAAGAAAAAAATATATTTTCTTTATTTGAACGTTCAAAACTTTAGGATTGTCAAATTTTTATATTTACTATTTATTATTTACTTCTAATTAATGTTGAATTTTTTGAATATTATTTTTATTCAATATTAAAAATTTAATTTCACTTTTAAAAAATTGTATAAACTATTTATAAACTATTTATTGAATGTTAAATTATTTTTCTATACTTGACATTTTTGTTAGACGTTTTAGAATCAATAGCACACTTTTGAAATAATCACTGTTTTTTTTTAAATTACTGAAAAAATAATTATTAACTGTTAATTGAAAAAAGAAATTAATATTTGTTTAGTCAAAATGGTTGGTCAACAAAGTTCGTTTTTGTTTTCTTTCTATTATTTTCCATGTCGATAACAAGGTACCTGTGTATACAGTATTATATACATTAAAAGTGATAACAATTTTTAATGACTTTTAAAAAACTTGGAAGGTATACAAATATTTTCTTTTTTGCTAAATTTCCCTCTTTTAAATGTAGTTAAAATTACAATTAAAATTATGATTTATATTTTCTTCTATTATAATTTATCTTGATAATATTATAAATTTAAGGAAAAGGGAAAATTGCTCTTGACGTAGATATGTTATTTCTCGTATTTTACTTCATCTAAACTTGTTATTTTATAGTGATTTCTCTGAATCAAAATTCTGCACTGTCCCAGAATATGCAAAGTTACATGAATATATTAAATGATGATGATATAGATTCACATCTTCCAAGGATTCTCCAATTTTTTTTTTCTTTATTTTGTTTCTTTCTGTGTTAGTCATTTGGAAAAACGGAAATTTTTTAATTTCCAAATTTTTATTTTATTTTCCAAATTTTTAAAATTAGTATTCAAAAATTTGGAGTGTAGGTAAAATTAATTATTTTTTGGAAAAATGGATTCTGAATTAATTTTTCGAAAAAGGAAATGGGAACGAATTTGAAGTTTTAATAGAATTTCGTGATTATTATCAATTTTTTTTTTTTTTTAGAAATTGCAAAATTTGTATACGATTATTTAAAAATACCTCACGTGTGTGCGTAAATCGCTTCTCAAAGTGAAAGTTGATCATGAACTTCAAATAGTTTGTAGGCAGCTGCTTGATTTCTAATAAGAAAGGTCATTTATTTTTTTTGTAACGTGCTTGATAACACGTGGCATTTCAGTGTGACGAAAAATGTCCAAAAAAAGGAAATAAAAATAGAAAAGGAATGGAGAAAATATTTTTGTATTTAAATTAATTTTTTCTGGTGAAATAAAAATTTTTCAATATTTGAAATCAAATGAAAACTATTATTTCAAAATGGAAAAATTTGAGAAAGAATTGGATGGACAGTCAAGTCAAAAGTTATGTAAAAAATTTAAATAAAGAGAGAAAAAATAGAAAAGCAAGTAAATTTGTTTTTATTAAATTTTTCTAGTGGAAGAAAAATTTTACAAATTGAAATTAAATTAAAAATATTGTTTCAAAGTTAAATTTATCTTAGGTAAAAATTAATTTTTATAAAAAAGAAAATAATTTATTTATACAAAAATAAAACACTGAACAAAAAGTATTTGTTTAAAATAACTACCTATTATTTATCGAATAAATATTTACTTTAATTAAATAATTTTTATTTGAATCAATTAAATTGTATTTACTTCAAATTCTGAAATTATTGGTTCAGATAAAATTAAATTGACTTGGATAAAATTTATTTGCTTTAAGTAAATATTTGATTCAAGTAAATATTTGTTGGATTCAATTAAATATTTATTTGATAATAAAATAATAATCGGCTATTTAAATCAAATACATTTTTTCAGTGAAATCAAAAGAAGTAAAAAAAATAATGGGTGTTTTGAACATTCAAAATTTAGGAACATTAATGTTTGATTTAAAGAAATTAAAAATAAATAATTTTAAAGAAATAAAATAATTAAAAAATAATTTTTGATCTGACTGTAGGTATGTCAAAAACTTCCTTAATTCCTCTACGTTTTAATAATAGAAAAAAAATTCGATGACTTAATAGAATCAATAATATAATTTCAATTTAAAAAACAGTGTGCGGATAAAATTAAAAAAATATATAAAGAGTCGGTTTTTTTCTGTCAAAGTCCGGATGTTTGCTAATGATTATAATATTAAAAAAAAATCATTTATAGTCTTCCTTATATACTTCGTGAATAGTGTCCAAAAGGAGTTTTAATATTTGTCTGAAACAAGCTGTTCAACGTAACTTCATACAGATTTTCTCTTTTTAAACATTAGTAGAGACTTATTTCACCTTTGGGATTACGAAAAACCACGTTGGAATTTGTGGCTTGTGAGTAATGAATTTTTGTGAAGGGCATTTAACTACTTTGCCTCTAGCGGAAGCGTATATATTTTGTTCCTTGCCTTTGTTCTACACATAATGCTCTCGGTAAAAATTTTTTTCCTATTTTCATCTACATATGCATACAACTTTTTGTTTTAAAGTTTTAAATTATTATTTTTTATTAATGGGCTTTCTTTTGAAAAATAAGTAAATTAATATTTAACAATAATCATAATAATAACTAGCAACAATTCAAAACAAGGCTAACTTTTTACTGCCTTTTTTAAATAAAATTATCAACTTTAAAAATAATAGAATTTAGAAATTTTTGTTGAAAACACAAAAAAAAATTCAATTTTGCAGAAACTACAAATAATTGCAGAAATTTAATTGTTTAAAAAAAAATAAAATTCAACAATGTTCAAAATTTGAAAAAAAATTCTCGTATAAATCCCAATTATGTTTATAAAATCCTGTTCCAAAAATAAGATTAAAAATAGAAATTGTGCAAATATTTTTCTTATTTCTCTAAAACAAAATAATAATTTTGTTAAAAAAATTGTGACTCATAAACAAAAATAATGCAAAATAAATAAATTTTCTATTTCTTAATCACAGTTGTTCAACAATTTTCTAATTTTGTTTAGAAGTAAAGAAGAAAAATCTGCATAATTTCAATTTGACAAAACATAGTATTTAACAAAATTTTAGTCTTTTAATGAAAAGAAGTGAAAAAAATTCTAATAATTTCTATTTGTCATTACAATTTTGAATTAATTATAAAATAAAAATAATTATAACAATAATAAAATATACAATCTTTTTAAAGTTAACAAAAAACAAAAGTATAAACAAAAGTCAACTTCAGAGTGTGAGGGACAGAAAAAGTGAATGAATGAAAGAACATTCAAATTATTATAGTTTGTAATAAAAAAAATAAACTAACAAATTTATTTTCTTGTTCTAATAATTCGAATTTTTTGTGATAACAATAAATTCGTTAAGCTACAAAAAATTTTGTAACAAAAAGAAAGGAAATTTGTTAGTTCTATTTTCACAATTATTTTTTCTCTGTGTAATTATTCTATTATTTAATTATTGAATTAATTAATTTGATAATAAACAAGTAATCGGTTACTTAAATCAAATAATTTTTTTCTATGATTTACTATAATAAATAATATTAGAATATTTATTGTGCAAATTTACTTGCTCTCTAAATTTGAATTAGTAAAAATGTTTAATTTAATTTAATTTGTTTTAATTTAATTTTAATTAGTGACTGACTTTTTGCTTTTGAATTAGAATAAGTAAATTTTACTAATTAATAGTAATTTCTACTAATTTATTAGTAAAATTTACTAATTCAAAAGCAAAAAGTCAGTCACTTAGTAAACATTTTTACTAATTCGAATTTAGAGCGTGTATCAATTTTCCTAAAAGTTTTGAACGATCAAAAGAGCGAATATTTTTTTTTTATTTAAAAATTTTCGAAAATTATTAGAATATAGGATTAAAAATAAAATAAATTCAACACTTAGAGGAAGGAAGTAATTTTGTAAATTAGCGAAAAAATTTTTTTCTAACAAAATTCTACACAGGGAGAGAGAATAAATATTAAATTTTGTAAAAGTATTTTATGCAATTTGGGGAAAAAATATCACAAAGCGAAATTTTTATATAAAAAATAGAAGATTTTAAAAAAACTTATGTGAAATTTAGTATATTTTTATTAAATATCAAGAATATTTATTTAATTTCAATGTAAATTTACTAAATTTCGTATAATTTCCTTTAAAGTTTAGTATTTTTTATATTAAAATTTCGCTTTGTCGCATTTTTCAATCAATTTGTAAAATACTTTTACAAAATT